TACTCGAATCCGTTAGACGAGGCTTTGATTGATGTTAAGCCAGGTTTATTTACACTCTTAACAAGGCCACGGTTGTATATGCGTTTCTTGCATAGGCAGTATTACCAGTGGCGTAGCGAGGGTCGGGTGTCAGCCGGTGCGGCACTTGATGGTGTCACCCCCCAGAGGCGTAGCGACCCTTCCCGGGGACAAACTTTCAATTTTCGATTTGCAGCCCCCCGCTCAAACTTTCGATTTTGCACCCCCCCTCAAATGTTTCTATAGGCCTATATAATATATATTTTGCTATTTTTTGCCTTCATGTCACCCTCCCTAAATGGTGTCACCGGGTGCGGTCCGCACCCCCTCGCTACGCCTCTGAGTATTACCATCACAAAACAAGAAAAGCTATATAGATTATTCGCTAGGTCATCCATACATGACGTCCACCTCCACATCCAATACCAGCTCATCGTCACACAAAGCCGTACCTCTATTACGTGGACGTCATCTATCACCCTACCACCCCTTCCATCAAAATGCCCATTTTCAAAATGTGTTGGTAAATAACAATCACATTGTTCTCACCCCCTCCCCCAATGGTACAGATAAATGTGTTCAGATTGTTTCCGTACTTAGGCCTAGCCTAAGTTTTAAAAAGTGTTTCGCATCTAGATCTAGAGATCTAGATCTAGATGTATCAAACTCAAACTAGTAATGTATAGATCTAGATCTAGGTCCATTTAATTTCAATTCTCATGTTGTATTTTAAAATTTTAGAATATGTGGGTTACTTTTACAATATACATAATCGGCAATGCGTGTTAGGATGTATTTGGCGAAGCATACTATCGTAGTGTGCGGACTCTGTTTCATGTTTTCTTTTTTATTCAGGACAATCCGTTTTTTTTTTAAAATCATGGGATAGACCTAGAGGCAACCCTAGGCTACGTGGTTAGTTTCACCCAAGCCTACTGGCTGACTTGTGCATTATGGGAACAGCTAATGAGCTAATGCAAAACGAGGCTGGGCATTTTCATTGTGACAGATTGGGAAGGCCTACTTTAAATTTTAAAATGTATTAGCCTATCTTACTATGAAAATATATTTATATATAGATCTAGATCTAGTGTTAAATTAATTGTTTCCTATTTAAAAAAATTATTTTTATTTTATTTGTTTGTCTTTAATATGTGTATATAAAAAAAGTTGGTCTGCATTTTGCACCCGAATAGACTTTAGCGTGAATTACCATCAGACTAAAAATCTGGGTAAGTCTATTCTGTTTGAGGACGATCCAAAGTGACAAGGCGGACAAAAATGGCGAATAATTACGAGCATTCTAACAAAAGGCAGCGTACAGACGATGGATCGAGGGTAAATAAACGATTAATTTCTTATGTTTATATTAATTCCACATCTTTACATAATCACAAAAACCTGAATTTTTAAACTTTGAAGTGGACGAGGCTTCAATGATGGCTTCACTCACAGTTTACACTAGGGACATGGATAAAATTTGAATTTTAAAAAATTGAAAAATGTAATAGCACCATCTTATAGAGCTCATTTAGCCAGGAATAAAGATATTTTCATTTTAATTTTAGCTCAAACGGTTTCAAAGTTATGAATTTTTAACGTATTTAATTTTCGGGTTTTTTTATAATGGGGTTTTTCCAATTTCTGTGACCCTTATTTTTTGGATGTGAACAAAAACCTCTGTAACTTTTTAAATACCAGGTAATTTTTAATAAAAATTGACTAGGATCAAGCTTATCATATCAGTAAAAGGATAAGATACAAATAATTTCAGTGGATGTGAAAAATTGATAAAAGCAATGTTAACCAAGAGGGCCACCCCCCTAAAATTTTTGAGAAAATGTCTTATATAGGCAATACTAAATCTGCTGCCAAATTTTTATTATATGGAATATCTCAGTAAAAATTGGCTTAAATGATTCCAACAATGAACACATTCACAGAAAGTAAAAATATTTTACTTAGCTTATGTAGTTATGTTACAGTAATGGTCAAAATCAAAAAGTACTTTCTATTCTGCGCAATTACTTTCTTGCAAAAAAGAACTACAATGCCTAGCTTATTTTAGATAACTTTGCCTATATTCTTTAAAGATAGTATAAATGATGGTTATTATATACTTTAATATGCCCACTGATCAAAGTTGATAAAAGAAATATTTTATTTTAAAAAAGGGGGCATGAAACTATGGTACCCCCCTTAATTTTGTGACGAAGAATTCTCCAACAGACAACATACATCTGTTGCCAATTTTTAACCACTTGGAATATTTAGCTGAAAATTTGCTGAAATGTTATCAATATTGTATACATTCACAGAAAGTTCAGATATGTCATCTAGCTTATGTGGTTTTGTTACTTTTTGTCAAAGTTAAAAGGTCATTTTTGTCCAGCGCAGCTACTTTCTAACAAGAAAGAGGTACAAAGCTAAACTGATTTTAATTTCTTTGCTTATATCATTCAAAAACAGTAAAATTTGAAGTTGATTATGTACTTTAAATACACATTGATGTAAGTTAATTAAAAAATATTTCATTTCATAAAAGTGGGTTTGAAGCATGGGTACCCTTCTTATTTTGTAACAAAAATTTTGCTATAGGCAACCTTGGAATTTTAGCTGAAAATTGGCCTTTTTGTTGATACATTGTATACATTTCATCCATCGTGTTTATGCATCATCATAAACATGTGGTATTGAATTTTTAATGTAGGATACATAATAAACATCTGCCTGCAATTAAAAATACATGTCAAATTAAAATACATCTTTTACGTTTAAATGATGTAGATATTGTATTAGCTGACTGTGCATGGGGCAAATAAGTAAAGTTTGCTGTATCAGTGACCTTGGCATATGAAGGGATAGTGTGGTGAGCACTATGCCCATCTGCCTTAACTTTAACTGAAGTGAGTCAGGTACCCATCATAGCTGGGTGGACTCAGGGACGCTCTACAAACTTGAACCAGGCAGTCTGATACCCTGTGGAAATAGCTATTCTGGCAGTGAATTTTATCAGGCCTAACCATGCACAATCCTGAGGAAGTGGCTACTCCAGCAGTGAAGGCTGTGACTTCAATTCAGCTGAACTTCAAAACCTGTTTAGAATAGATTTACAATTACATTTACGTTTTTATCTTTACATCTTTTGTGACTATTTATTTTTAGTTATTTTATTACAGAAGATCTGTGTTAACACAGACAGATATAGATCTAGTTAAAAGTAGGTGTAGAATTTTGAAAAGATCTACTTATTTAAAATGTATTGCAAATCCAAAAAGCCTAAACTAGAACGATTTTCTTCTTTCATTGAATTTAATTAAAAATGATCTACAGGTACAATAAAATGATATCTCCTACTACCCACTGTCACCCATTATCACAAAAAGCCACAGACCCCCCCCCCCTATTAAAATGACCAGAGCCTAAAACCCCTTCAAAATTGCAGCTTTATTTTTAACTTTATTTTTAACATAGCTCATGGTTTCTTTCTCAAATAGTGACTATGGTCACTCTGGTCAATAAGTATATTAATCAATTTCTATTAGTCTATTGCAATTTACAAAAAAAAAAAAAAAATTTAAAACGCAAATTAGAGGCTATAACAAACTCATCACACATTGTGAAAAAATGACGAAGTGTGGTCCCGTCCCCCCCCCCCCCCCCCCCCCGACAGAAATGTGACATCATTTTTGGACACCAGCATTAAAAGCAAAGTTAGATTCTAGATCTATTATGATATAGTATTTTTGTTAAAAGTATTCTAGATTTAAGTTTATTGTTATTCATAATATATTTATAGTTCAATTTATACATGAAAAAGTTACAAATGGGCTCGATATTACAAAAAAGAGAAATTATCATAGTATCCAATATTAACAACGCAACTTCAAAGAAACTTATGTGGGAAACTTAACTCAAGTAAAATAATTCATATTAAATAAATATGTAATTATAACACGAAATATAACTGCAACATCAGGAAAGAATCAATGTTTTATCAATAGAAGTGAAAATCAGTCAATAAAAAGCAAAAGGGGATGATGGATGGCTCTGATTGTAAAATCAGCTCTAATATTTTTGCTTTCGCGTCATTGACAATATTTGGGAAATTCCGATTTTTACTAACTTCCGGTTTTGGTTTCATTATTTAAATCACTATTATTATAAGCATCCGGTTTGTTGAAATCAGAGATGCTTTCTTGGTCCCAAATAAAACCTTTTTGGGTCCGATTGTCGCTAAAATTTTTTGATATTCATATAGAAAAATGGTTGTTCTATTTGTGCCTTTAAACTTATTACTGTGCCATAAAATGCTATATCTGAAAAATTTGCTCAAACTTACCTTATTTTCAATGAAAAACTCCATAAAATAATAATCCATTGGAACAAAAAACAACTTGTAAGTAAAAACGATGTCCATTTCTAGTTGTAAATCTATTAAAACCATGACAATAATCATTTGGGTTGTAGGAAAAAATAAATTTTTCGAAACTGCCCATCGCAAAAAACGCCGTAGCGCAAAATCACGGTATCGGCGAACAGCTCTCCTCGCCCGCGGCAAATCGCGCGTCATATCCATGTCCCTAGTTTACACAGCTTGCGTAAACATCACATTTTCATTTTGCTTTCTCGGTGATAGCCGGCTTGGCGGCTATACAAATCAATAATTCCAAGCTAATCTCAAAAATCTGTCTAGATGTTGATTTGTAGCAGTTTCACTACACTTTAAAAACTTAAATTTAATCTATTGCATTGCAAAGTACACCAATTGTAACTTTTATTTTAAATTTTAAGAATGATGAGTTTTAAAAAACAATTTGGTAGGCAAGGGCTCTTGACACTTGTCTCTTATTTCATGACCACCAGTAAAGATGTTTTCACTCAGTAAAAATTGGGGGGGGGGGGGGGGGGGGGGGGGGTTATACAGATTTCTGATAATGGAATCTTCTTTAAAAAGTGGTGCTAGGTTACTGGTAGTAGTGGTAGTTAACTACGTACATAGATCTAGATCTAACTGGCATATGTCAATTGCTAGGCTTTTTGATGAGAATTACAGAATGATTTTTTTATTAAAAATGTATCAATAATAGCTAGAACACTAGTAAACTAAGCTAATTTAGCATATTTTAACTTTCTGTGTAAAGTCATTATTACTGAAAAAAATTCCAAAGTCAGGTCAGTCTGTGGCAACCTCCAATGAACTTGACAGAAGGAAAAAAAAACTTGACCCGTAACCTTCATTAAAACAGAATTTGCTTTTATCTTTTTTTTTATTTTTAGTAAACATGTGCTTAATCTTACCCAATAAGTGATAAAAATTTGAAAATTAATCCTAATTACTGCTGTAAAGTGAGATAAACAGCTTAATAAACACGTTTTCTTGAGGGGGTGTGGCACATCGCAATTATAACTTAATGTTTCTGTGTTTTATGACTATATTAGTATATTTGTACACAATCAGGATGCTATGCTTTTAAAATTGATAAATGGTAAGTATACCAAGTTACAAAACCTGCAATCTAACTAATAATCCATACTTTCAGTTATAAAAATGATCATCAATGAAGAAAGCGTAAACATTCTATTTTTAGGTGTGACATAAAAAAACAGTCATAAATCTAGCCAAATGATTGGATTCTTGCGCAGCACACATTTTCCTGCGCCTCGTTTTCACTAAGCAAGATTATAATAAAATGGCATTATTGGGGGGGTGATCGTTTTCCCACGCACGTATCTCATTAACACAATAAATTATTACCAGTTAATGGTAATGTGTGTAAAATTAATACTTTATAGTTTACATCTGACATAAGCTGGTTTGCATCTGGAAGCGATATGTAAGAGTTATTTGATATAAAAGACAAGAATTCATAGAGCTATTTTCACTAACGCGTCGCTTGCGAGACAAACGAAGAAATTAGGTCAAAAGTACATCTGGGAATTCTTAAATAACAGACTGAAATAGAAACGGATAGTTCCGATGTCTAAAATTAACGATGGCCTCGTAATTATTAGTTTTATCCCTCTACCGTTTAGTGAAAGCGAAACTGGTCGCCATTTTTATTAAGCGCTTGAGCCGTGAGATGCCACAAAAATGACAAACCCGGAAGCGTTGAACCGAACGGCCTACAATTGCTAACCCTGTCCCTAACTCCAACCCTGGTCCTACCGTTAGCTTAACCCTCATTTCTAAAATAAGTCAAGATTACAATACTACTAACTACCCAACACACCTATTTTATGAAAGAGTATTATCGGACATCAGTATCTAAAATCATGCAAAACTGGATCTAGAATCTAGATCTATTTAAGAAATCTAGTTTTTAGATATCCAAAGTTGATAGTTTTACTAAGATTGGCTCTGATTTTCAATGCCAAAATGTTCCACATTTCTTTTTTCAAAGTGATTACGTAAGAAGCTTCTTCCCCCCAGCAATAGCATGGAGGGCAGAAGATGCAAAACGCAATGCCCTTATAGCTATGGGCTCCAATTATCTTTTTTTAGCTGAGCTATGGAATCAATAAAAATATTTAGGGGCTATTGCCAATCAACTAGGAATAACCTTGGCCATAAATAAAAAGGATGATAATCTAGATAATAAAAGGGAAACAAAATAAGCAGCTAAATCTTTTACTATCATATTATTTTATTCACCAATGAATGCTTGACTCTAATGTCCAGAGCGATCATACCCATTATTGAGGCTTGAATGTTATTTGATTGTTCCTTGTGGAATAAAATTTTAAACCTTTACTCCTAGGATCCTGAAGATCGCTTTAAACCTTCCCCTTCACCATGTGTTCATGTCAGAGGTTTATCAGAACATGCTATTGAAGGAGATTTAGTTGAAGCAGTGCAACATTTTGGAACAGTCAGGTAAACTTTTTGATAACTTTTTTATTAGTGCAGAATTATTGTTTTTGTAAATTCCTCGATTTAATTAAACACTATACAGTATTTAAAATTTTAAATGGCTTTATTTCATATTTATAGAGATGTTATGATGATGCCAAGAAAAAGACAAGCCCTTATTGAATTTGAGGTAAATATATGACCTGTGTGAGAGTTAACTATTATGAACACTTGGCTAGAAATAATCAAAATATTCAGTGAAATCTGTTAACAATTTTTTATGACATACACAAATTAGTATTAAATAAAACGTTTGGTGGTGTAGGATTATCAGCTTGCTGCTCCACATGTATGCTTTTGAATAGCTTTGTTTTATCACATTTTTCTTAGGACATTAATGGTGCAAAGAATTGTGTGGAATATTGTCAGGTGAGGTTTATTTTTAGAGCTGATGTAATGTTATTTATTTTTGTTGAATTATCCCTAGAAATGCGTGTTCTGTTTTTTTTATTTTATGGAAAATCTTTACTGTTACTGAAAAGTATTAATTATTGTTATTCTTTTCCTTGGTGATTTTATTGAACAAATCTAATCATTTTTGCTTTGATCCTTTATCCTATTATGACAGCAGGGAAACTCTATTTATGTTGCCGGACAGCCAGCTTTCTTTAACTTCTCACTCAGTCAAAAGATTCAGAGACCAGGGTAAGTTTTAAATACACAACAGGTTGTCTTTAGAGGGAATTAAATTAATTATAATGTATTGTTTTCAAATTTCTTAAATTGTTCATATGAATCACTAGTTTTAAATTTGCTATTTGTTTAAACTTCTGTTTGGTAATGATGGTTTAGGTATTTACACAAGAAAATAAGTGGTAATATTTTAACAATTATTTTTTTTTATCTAGTGAAGGTGAAGATGCTCGACCTCCCAATCACATTTTGCTTTTTACAATTCTCAACCCACAGTATCCAATTACAGTTGTAAGTAAAACAAGTATATACTGTATTTTTTCTTAAATTCTGCTAACTACTTTTGAAATTCATTATCCTATCGACTTAATAGGCACATTTTAAATTCATAAATTATTCATTTATTATAATTAACACTTCATTTGCATGGAACTAATGAAAAACTGCTATTTTTATTCTCATCTATAAATTTCCAGTACCACAGCCTCCTTTGACTTAATCTGTAATAGTTCTTATAAACTAAAAATTTTTTTTATTTTTTTAGGATGTTATGCACACAATTAATGGTCCTTATGGTCAAGTACAAAGGATTGTTATATTCAAGAAAAATGGTGTTCAAGCAATGGTGGAATATCCTTTTTTAAATCAGATGGACTTTTTTAATTATGGTATTGTGGCGGACTGCTTTTTCTCGTATGTAACTTTTCAAAATTATGCTCTTTTTCCTGGAATTTTTTTTAATTGATATTTTCCTTTTAATTTCTAATATCTCTGTGACTCAGTTTCTGGCGCATTTCTTCTTCTTGAATGTATTCAGCCAGCAGATTTATTATTTAGGAGATTATTTACATATCTTTTGTTATGTAGAACTTACCAAACTATATTTCAACACAAGTTTCACTTAATCCTTTAGAGCCAATGTAAATAGCTTTGTTTTACTTTCTATAGTCATCAAGGCTTTTCTTGGTCTGTTCAATTTTTTCCCTGTAGTTTCCATTGCCTGCTTTATATTTTCTTGCATTCTTCTCACTTTATGTCTAATCCCGCCTTAAAAGTTATGACGGTCATGTCAACATTTGGTAAAAATCTAGGTTAAACTTCTTTATGGTCTATTATATTGAATTGCCTTGATTGCATTGGTAAAGAAAAACCTTAACAGCTTCCAAGTTTGACAATGTTGAATCAGCAAAGAGAGCAAAACAATCTCTAAATGGGGCAGATATTTATTCAGGATGCTGTACCTTGAAAATTGAATATGCCAAGGTAACAATTTCAATATTATTATATAAATACTAATAGTAGGCCTACTTTTTAGAAACTAGTGTTTTTAGGGACACAAATTTTTATTGCTTTATTTCTAAACAGTTACCTTTTTTTTCTGTTAGCCTACACGTTTGAATGTAGTTCGAAATGATTCAGAAAGCTGGGATTACACAAATCCAGCATTAGGGGGTAAGTATATTTTAAAGTTCCCTTGAAAGTTGTTCACAATTTTATTTTATCAAGCACATTCTTTTTTTCAAATAACAAATGGACAACAACATGCAATTTCATGAAAGAGCATATATCACCAACACGAATTTGGAAATGCATTAAAAACTTATTCCTGAAACAAAATGCAACTGTGCACACAATAAATCAGGAGAAAAACCAAGATGCAATTCAACATGGGTTCTAAGCAGTTTTCAAAACAACATGAAGACACAAACAGCCTTTTCAACATATGCAACTGGATAGCACGTCCAGCATATCATCATTTACAAACTGGAAAACCTATCAACATATCATAACCTCGTCCACTATTAAATGAAAAAATAATGCAGTCCTTCCTTCGTGTCCAAATCAAGACCATCAGTACAGTGCAATCTATCAAAACAGAGACACTTACTCTTAAAATTACAATTCAAGATTTTTTTCATGATGGAAAGATAAATATGGATTATTTTCACTTAAACCGGAAGTTTCCATTCCTTCAAATAATCATAAATATTAATGTTCAGAAAACATGTTACATATACCACATTATGGGGCAAAGAAGTTTTCACAAATTTTCTTTTCTGCTTTCTCTATAATGAATCGTAATGTAAGTTCATGGCACCACCGGGAAAAAATTGTTTCCAAATTCTTCTTCCTGACAAAGAAATGTTATTGCTTTGTTCACATCTGTACTACATAATACAAGCCAGAATACTTGCCTGAACATTTACCCCAAGACATCTAAACTTGGACACTACACTCATGCAATGCAGCCAGATGCTCCAAAAGAAATACATTTTTTAAAAAGCATTCACTCTCCGAGCATATTTCGCTGATGCATTTTTTGTCCGTCTCACAGAGCAAGCAAGGGCATGATGGGAGAGTGATGTTGCTCCGTATCTGTGCTTAACATCTCTGCTCAGCTCTGTTATCAGTTGAAGGGGTCGACGGGTAATGTTCAACTACAGCAATTGAATTGTGAATAGCTTGAATCCCTCTTCCCCTTCCAGAATATGTAGTATTTGTTTTTATTACTAGATTGAAGAACATGTAAAAGGATATAATGAAGTGGATGTGTTTGGTAATGTTTTGATTTTATTACAATAATATATAAAAATATGCTCTAAACCTGTATCCATTTTCACCCTCTTGATTTTTAACTTCCAATTGTAATTTTTTGTTTGATTTTTTTGAAAGTAGTGAACTTTTCATGTGTATTAAAAGTTTGCTCCTGGTGGCGTAATTGTATACACATTTTATTTCAGGGAACTGGTTACTTTACCTCTTCAATTTATTTGAGAACTGCTTTTTAACATTTATATATAATTAATTGTAACATTTTATGTATGATTATTTGAAGATGTATTTCAGGTTCTGATTCTTGAGTGATGTTTAAAAGAAACTTGTGTCAGTTTAAGTTATTTGGGTTGTTTTTTTTTACATTCAATACATGCTCCACTTTCATATTCAAAGAAAGATTTCACAATCCAGGACACCATTAGAACATATGCATTTCATAAATGTAAATCGTTAAATGGCTTGCACAATAGCAAGCCTGTTAAAGTGCCTATTTATTTTTGTTAAAGTCGTGGGAAGGAAAAAAGCATTTAACTCGTCTCTTCCAGGCAAGGAGCCACCAGGTGGTCGTGGACAGCCCCTGTTGCAAGAACCTAGGTTTGGCTCTGCACCAGCCCCCTACAGTATGTCTGTTTTTGTTCTTTTAAAAAAGTATATTAGGTAACCACTATTATACATTTTAAAAGTATATGTTAAGGTGTTCAATTGTTTGTGCATACTTTTTTCAATATGTAAAGTGGATTATGTTATGAAACTGTCAACAAAAAGAGAAACCATTCCATATAATTATCTTTTATGCTATTTACATTTTCTTCTCACAGACGGGCCAGCTGGCAGTGGATTTGGTGGTGGACCAGGTGGTCCTCCAGGATTTGGTGGACCTGGGTATTATGATGATGGATTTGATGGTTATGGACGTCCTGGTCCTTATGGAGGTCCTGGTGAACGCTTCGGACCTAAAGGCGCTGTATGTATTATTTAATTATTAAGAGTTTGTGTCACCTATTTGCTTGGCCTTTCTTGATAGCAATTGTTTTTCTTTTTTGTATTTATTTTTAGCCTGATCGTTATGGTCGTGGTGGGTCCTTTGAAGGAGGTGCTGGGTCACAAGGTGCTGTCTGTATGGTTTATGGCCTAAATATGGACAAGATGAATTGTGACAGACTCTTTAATCTTTTCTGTCTTTATGGAAATGTTGTCAGGGTAAGAATTACTACTCTTTATTTTGTACTGGTGGTACACTTTGGTAATTATCTTTGCATGTTTGGATTTGGAATTTATTTCACGATGTAATTTTTATTTTTTATCACCAGATCAAGTTTTTAAAGAGCAAAGAAGGGTCTGCTATGATCCAACTTGGAGATCCAATTTCTGTTGAAAGAGCTATTGCTAATCTCAACAATGCTTTCTTTTTTGGAAATAAACTTCAGCTAAGGTAAATACTCATCTGCTTTGCTTTCCTATAAAGTAAAAATGTTTATAACATGATGTATTAGAATACTCATTATCTATTTTTAACAATGTTTAAATTAAATTGAAGCATGTCCAAGCAAGCTTTTCTTCAAGAAGTACCCAACCCACATGAACTTCCAGATGGCACTACATCTTATAAAGATTATATGGGCAACAGAAACAACAGGTTTACAAATCCAGAAGCAGCTCAAAAAAATCGCATTCAAAGCCCATCTAAAGTACTTCATTTCTTTAATGCACCTCCAAACATTAGAGAGGAAGAAGTTTTTGAGGTATACTGATTTTTTAGTTTTTCTCTATACTTAATTGTATAATATGATGCTTGAAAGATTGAATTGTATGTCATTGTAATTGTATGTATTCTCTAATTACAATTTACTGATTTTGTTCTCCTAATGAAGAAGCAATAATTAGGGACGAACATTTTTAATACCTAAACATTCCCTCTAACATTGCAGAGTTCATTGATTGTTATACAAAAATAGGCTATTAAGTTTTTTTTTTTTTTTTTTAGTTATTTGACACAGCAATAGGAAAGCGCCCCCTGAAGATGAAACAGTTTCCATCAAAGAGTATGTACAATTAAAAAATTTTCTTTAACGTGCAAAATGATTATATGCAAAAGTTTATTAATGCACATTGCAAATGTTTAGGTCATTAGTATTGATGGCATTGTTTATTATTACTACTAGTTATATATTTTTTTTATCAAAGAAATACATCAGATAGTGCAATGTAAATACATTTTTACTGTATTTTTAATATTTCCAGCTGAACGTAGTTGTACTGGCCTTGTTGAGTTTGAAAGCAAAGCTGATGGAATTGAAGCACTCGTCATGGTAAATCACACACCAATAAACAGTGCAGGTAAATACAATTTTTCCTGTTTTTTTTTTTACAGCATTTATTTAATTTGATTCCTTGTACTTCTGTCTGTTGAGGTGAAACATTTAAAAAATTTCTCCCATGTCAACTGAAATTATTAGTTTAAACATGACACATAGGTCAAGATCCAATGCAATGTCATATAGTCTTTGATTTGTTAGGTTTTTAATAAATTTATAAGAAATCAATTAATTATTGCTATGTAAAGTGAAAATAGTGGGCTCAAGATTTTGTAGTTTTGCAATGTTCTTAACAATAGTAAAATATATATGTGAACGTTTATTCTAAGCACTTTAAAGAAATATAACTGATTTTTAAAAAATATAATGCGCATAAATAAAAATGGGTTTATCATATCATTTTAGTAAGCTGCAAGTATGTATTAATTCTACCCATCTTTATTAGTATTTAAGTACCTGTGTTGTGTATTATATATAGATATGAAAATAAAAATTTCTTGGTACTAATAGGCCTATTTATTTTGCAAGGTGCCAATAGTTTCCAACCCAACCTCTTCAGTGCATAATCTTAATTATTCAGACTTACTTTTGTAAATATTAATGCATTATTATAGTATTGTTGCTGGAAGTATTCTTTTTCTTGCATTCATTTATTAACCTTTTTCTTCTTCTTATCAGTTTCAGAAAGTTCATAAACCATGAAATTATTTCATGTACAAATTTGCTTTCAGGTGGAAAAACTCCATTCATTTTCAAGTTGTGCTTCTCTGCAATGCCCCTGTCAACATAATTTCTTGCCGAGAATCTCTTTTTATTTCAGAGTGTATTTTTTAAGTGTTTTATGTTTAACTTGTATAGTTAAATCATGTCCATTTGGTGATGTCACTCCATTTGCCCCATCTAGTTTTATTTTTGTTTGTCACACTCATACTGACAAATATTTTTAATGAAATGACTTTCTTTGTAATTTATGTTGTAATAGGTGTTGAATAAATCAACAAGAAAATAAATAAAATATTAAGAATATTGTTTTATTGTTTACTTGCATAATTGTGAATGTTAGAAGTATGATCAATATTAAGTTACTACAGTTACAAGCTATGTTTTGCATATTGATTACATTTTAATTTTAATTAAAGCTAATTAAAATCTACAAGAAGCTTGACTTTATTTCATTATCCCCACTGAGCTAAACATAGTGAATGACTTCTTGTTTCAACTTTATCTTACAAGTTAACATTGGCTTATCAAAGGGGATACAGAATCAATCTATGTCTTTGTTATTATCCTTGGTAGTATCCACACTTAATTTGTTTATCTATCCTGTTCAGTTCATACCCTCTGCTAGGCTCCATTTCTTTCCAGTGAAAGATAATAGGCAAATAAGTGTCTCGTAATTCTTCTTCAGGCTCTTTCTTCCACTTCTTAGCTGGTATTTTTCTGGTCCTTTTGATAGGTGTCCAGTTGAGGTGACCAATGATGTTAGTATTGATCTCATTGACGGTGCTTATAGGCATGATGTTAGCCGGACAGCTGAGGATCCTGCGAGGTGTCTTGCTGGACCAGTCAGGCTTGTAGCTCTCGTAGGAAAGTTCTCTGTGTGCCGCCTCATAGAGCCGCTCCTGCATCGAGCGCCCAATGGTCACTTTCTTGTCCTCCTCAGACTGTTTGTTTTCTTTCATTGATTTCTCCTCCGCTCGTAGTTTTTCATCCCACCAGTCTTGCATAGACCAGCCACTGGAAAGTCAATTATTAACATTGTTAGATTGTAAATTAGTAAATGCTATGCAAAAAGTGGGGAATAAACGGAGTATGCCTGTTTATAAAAGTTAGAAAGCTAAAGCTGCTGTTAGTTTTTTGCTAGAATCGGCAGTACTATCCAGTGATATAGACATACGTTGCAGGCAGGAAAGTGAACAAGATATTATACTGCATTGTCATATCTGCAGTTTAAAAAATTCAAACGAATTCTATGTGGTCAGCTTGTTATAGGGTCTACTGTTGTCAGAATGGCAACTTGAAAAAAATCAACTATCTGAAGAAATGCTTTGGCTATACTGCTGTCAGGGGGGGGGGGGGGGAGGTGTGGAACCAACGGTGGAAAAACGCTTGGCTTATTGTTAATCGCCGATTAAATAGTTATTTGGTCAGGCGCCCAGTGTTTCTTTCAGACTTTTCTTCATATTTTCTGTATAAATTCTATCTGGAAGAAACTCTGCAGGCGCCTCTATTCTCCACGAATGAAAATGTAGCCGACATAGACAACCTCCAAAGATCAACCTGGAACTCCACTTTTTTGTGCAGCCCTATATTTTTGTCATGAATGTAATATCTCCCCTCCATCTAACTACATTTCTGCATCAATGTCGCGGTAACCTGTCGACAACAAAAACAGAAGACCAACCTGTAGTAAAGGTTCTTTTTCCGGAAGTAGGCCAGCCTCGAGTTGACTATCCTCTCCGCCATCTCCGCGTGCTGCTTGTAGGTCATGTGGGGGTGAGACTTGCCGGACCTGTTCTCCAGGGTGATGTAGGGGTACCGGGGCTTGAACGGGTTGAACCCCCTCAAGTGTTTCCTGATCCGTAGCTGGTCCCTGATGTGTTTACACAGCAGCTGTGAACAGTGGTTTGGTACTGTAAATACTGTAATGTCAACTAAGCCAGTGAGTACAACTACAGCTTATACCTGCATGTGACATCGTTTATGGCAAGGTGCGTACAACTACAGCTTATACCGCCATGTGACATTATGGGAAGTGAGTACAACTACACCTTATACCTGCATGTGTCATTATGACAAGGTGAGTACAACTACAGCTTATACCTGCATGTGAGCACAACTACACCTTATACCTGCATGTAAGTGAGTACAACTACACCTTATACCTGCATGTGTCATTATGACAAGGTGAGTACAACTACAGCTTATACCTGCATGTGTCATTATGGCAAGAGCTACGACATTCGCTGCTCAACCCACCCAGGGTCCCTGTACATTTTCTCTAACGAATAATCAACCTTTTCAGTAATAAACGTGTCGTAGTTTTAATAAAGGCCAATTGAACAGTAACCATTTCTGTTATGGGACTCCAGCTACTTATGTTAAGGGTTCTAAAATAACCACTCGCGCTCTAACTTAATAAACCCCAACCTTTTCCTCCACATGATTTTCGCCTAACTGGGTAATTAAATAAACGTGTATGATGGATCTTAGAAATGCTATGCTGCAAAAAATTGATTATTAGACTATTCTAAACCTCGTGATTTATTATCGTTTAACCAAATTTGATAGATCTGATTAAATATTTTACCTAAGTATTTGCTGATTGTCTGTCCTGTTAGTGTTAGCTAATTACCTTCATAGTAAAATGTAAATTAATCAATAATTTTTAGACATTCGGGACTTTGTAAACAACTTGAATTTTCTGTAAGGATCTTCTTATGGTATGTGTCTTCAGTGTGTGTTGAGAGTAGTGGTTTCATTTTTTTAAGTATCATGGCTAAAGCAGATAAATGGAATGTTGTGAAAACATTGATGTCCTTGTAATGATGAGTAGATGTCATGACTGCTTGTTCTGCCAGATTCCGGTAACTAGTAGTCCCATGTCATGTATTTCCATGGATACGATAAACTTGACCGCAAGAGCCGGTCGTCTCGCTCCCGGAAGTTGATGAGGGTCAGGTGACTTTCCGTGTTTCCGGATGGTCGGTCTTGGAGCTCGAACTTGTACAACCGTGGCGTGTGGTTGAACGGCAGGCTATCCCACATGGGCTGGCGGTGGGAACACAGGCGTTCTATGGCGACCCGCAGGTTCTGGGGAGGAAAGGAAAAAGATGGCTAAAAACCGCGTCATATACAACATTAGTGTGAATTAGACATCCATAGGTTTAAAGTATGTCAATTCTAAGCTAGGAAATCTTACCTGTTCGTCTAGATTGGTAAAGCGTCCAGGCTTGTTAAAAAACATTTTTGTTTACATATTTACAGCTCCTTATATTTATACTCCATAGAAAGAAAAATTGTGAGAGAAATTAATTAAGAATTTTTACTATCTATAATCCACCGTAGTTGAAAATATCTAAGCATGCATTCGATAACTATAAGCCTATTCGTTGATTGAAATAAAGGGAAACAGTGATTCTTAAAGCTACTTCAATTCCACCCATCCAGGTACATTTGAACTTGTGAGCTACTCATTACTTTTGTTTACAGTTAGACATAACACATGAGCTGTTCTTTGGTGCATATTGTGTATCATTTAAAAAGAAAATTGAGTAATTATTTTAAAAATAATTGAGTGTCTCAAAAGCCACAATACAGCAGGTCATCGTTTAGTAAAATTAATTGACTTTTACTTAACTAGCCTAACTTTAAGTTGATAAATTAAAAATGTTGACGTAAAACTTTGTGATTACCATATCTTTTATTTCATTTAAAACTACCAATGAAGAAACATGTTTTCAATGAATGGTTTCTGTGTTTTCTATAAGATTAACAAAACATAGAGACAAGTGTAGAACATGGAGGAATAGCTTTAGTCCATCGATGGTTTCACAAGGACGAAACCTTGAACACAATGCACAACTTCACTATAGTTGCACGCAAGATTTCACCAGCTAAGACAGAGCCACATTTCGGCAAAGTTTAGCATAACAGTGCCGACTGCAGTTGATGGCTACGTGGCAAGCTCTTCATCCATGGTTTGTGATGGACAACAATGTGTTGGTCCACAACTTGCGATGAGTGTTGGTTCTTGTTAAAGGTTTTCTTTTCAAATCAGAGATGGGGATATGGCGATACTGTTTTAAGTAGCTTAATTACAATGACAAAAAACATTCAATCCTGCATAAGTTAGGAAACCCTTGCTGGAGACATGGCGTTATATTTCTATAAAATCAATTATGATGGCAAGCAAACATTCAATCATTCATATGTTAGGAAATTCTTGCTGAAGACGGTCATCATTATTTCGACAATCAGTTGGCAAATTGGCAAATAATAATCACAATCTGTTCCCCGCATGCATCAATTAAACTAAGTTTGATCACACAACATGGATGATCTTGCTTTTCATTCAGACTCGACCTCGTGTTCAAAGAATGTCCTAAAGATCAATCAACATTCCTTTTTTTTTAAAATCGTTTTCCCCCAAAACAACAGCTACAGCGACATGTAATACTGCTGTTGATTGGCCAGCTACGGCGACATGTAATACTGCTGTTGATTGGCCAAGCGAGCCGCTTGAATGCGGCTGACGTTCTGTGTGTAGTCCAAGAACGTGATGTGCCGCTTCTGGCGCCACCAGGGCACGACCTGCGACTCTGCAGCAGGCGGCCCAATGAATTTGAAGCCAGCTGGGCGTGGACCAGGACGTTCGATGCTGGTCACTGGCACTCGCGCGTTCGTTAAGCTCTGGATTATCTTGGCCAAATCCTGCAGACAGAAGACACATCTTTAGCAGACTCCTTTATTAAAGCAACGGTTAAACTAAATGACGATAAAAAACGTGAGGTTTTTTTTTCCTCCCCGAACAGCTCTATGATGAAAATTCAAACTTCAGAATGATGATCTGTTAAAGTGTACACTCGCTCAAGATTTTAAATCCGGCGTTGGTCAGATAAACTATTCACATTGTTGTAACGTGCGTAGACAGAAATAACAACACAGTTTAAAATCTATGGTAATATACATTTAATTAAGTAGGCCTATACCAATTGAAAATAAAATATACATTCTTCAACTGTATGAAAATCGATGGCTAAAATTAACTTGTTTGATGGTTTAGAGTTTAGCGAAAACGCGGCCGGACATGGCCCGCTGGGTAAGCCGTGAAGTAGATCCCCCTCGGGCCGACGGTTTTCATAGCTATATGCCGGGCGTGGCCGCGCCAGGGGTCGCTTATGGACGGGTGTTCCCACCGGTCATACCCGTACAACAACGAGATTTCGTCCCGGTCCATCATCATGTAGGGGTCGACGTACGGCATAGCGGCAGCGTCGGAGGTCAGTCTAAACGACGCGCCTTCTAGTGCCCTCAAGTGCCCGTTTAGTGCCTGGCAGGAGAAAATAAAAATCCAACGGTGACCATCTTCACACAGACACAAACTTTAAAGACGGAATCCAACATAAGGTTTCAATCTTTATTCAATCTTTAGACATGAACAATTTCAAACGTCTCCACTTTAAGGTCCAAAACAGTTTTACGTATTGTATCCTATTGTAAATGGTGCTTTCTGGTGGTTAAATATTCATTTTTAGATGACGGATGGAAAATCATCTTATTATATGGTAGATGGTAAGAAAATCATCTTTCATGGTGAATGGTCAAAAATAATATTTTGCGGTAAATGGTAAGAAAATCATCTTTTTTTGACGAACAGTTAGGAAAATCATCTTTTGAGGTGAATGGTTAGGAAAATCATCTTTTGAGGTGAATGGTTAGGAAAATCATCTTTTGGAGTAGTAGCGAACAAAACTGTAGCGCTTTAAACTCAACATGGCAATCAACAGACGGATATCCTGAAAGAGAACGGGAGAAGTAGAGAGAACGGGAGAAGTAGAGAGAACGGGAGAAGTAGAGAAAACAACAACACAGAGCTAAACTTTAAAGAAGGAAGATTGGCTGCGTGTTTTTAAATCAGGAATGTTATTTCTAAATGTCAGCTTATAGGTATCCTTCTAAACACCTTGCATCTTCTATTCACTAAAGTGATCATTCAGCAGATCTTTGACGAAATGATTAGCAAGACACTAACTTTTTATCGAGACAAGTCACTGACTTAGGATTAGATAGCTAACATTACATACGGCCAAAGCGCAGCTGAATGTTATTGTGGGTACAAGTTTCCATATTGGTCAGAGCTTTATTCGTCGCTTGGATAAGTGAACAGGTTTCTTTCAGACATTTTTCTTTCGGTGGAGGGGGGGGGGGGGCGCTTAATATTTCCGTGTGGGCGGAAACTGGTTCAAGTTTATATTTTCTATATATATATATTGTACGAGCTCCGACCCCTTTCATGCACCCCCCTCCCCCCACACACACACCAAAGAAACACATGAAAGAAACTCATATTGTAGAAGCTAGTGCTGTTAATTTACTCCGGTTCTAGCAACAGAAAACAACATAACCTATGACTAACTTTTTGGATTTTAAATAAAAGAGTTGGATTTTTGTTTTTCGAGGAAGGGGTGTTTTATGATTCAAAGCAGAATTTTTTTCTTCTAACATTTACTTATCAAATAAAGTGTCCACACTCTGATAGAAAATCGAGCTAAAATAAGTTGTTTCCCCTTTTTGACTAATTATTTTAGTTGCATGGAACATGTTCATGACCTAACATACATTCATAAAGGCATGATGGGCGCCAAAACCTAGACCGATCATATTTCGAAACCTAGACCGATCAAATTTTGAAACCTAGACTGGGCAAATTTTGAAACTTAGATCGATCGAATTTTGAAACATAGACTGATCAAATTTTGAAACCTAGACTGGGCAAATTTTGAAACTTAGATCGATCAAATTTCTAAACCTAGGCCGATCAAATTTCTAAACCTAGACCGGTCAAATTTTAAAACCTATACCGATCAAATTTCTAAACCTAGACCGATCAAATTTTGATACCTTTATCGATCAAATTTCGAAACCTAGATCGATCAAATTTCGAAATCTAAAAGCCATTTGGATCAAGTTCACTCATCAACAAAAGGAAACAATACAGCCACACTGGTACGTTTAATCCAATTGTGAATGTGCCACACATGTAGTCCAGTAACATTTAGTTCAATGACTCGCTGTCTCTCGCATACGATACACCAGTTTTCTCTAAATCAACCATCAGTTTCATAGCGTGAGTCACTGCAATCAAAGATGGATAAAAACGGCTTGTTTCAATCATCCAATCAGTAACACAATCCACCACAATCAGAGAAGAATGAAGCGGCTTCTATCAATCTTCCAATCAGTAACACAATCCACCACAATCAGAGAAGAATGAAGCGGCTTGTATCAATCATCCAATCAGTAACACAATCCACCACAATCAGAGATGAATGAAGCGGCTTGTATCAACCAACCAATCAGCAACACAATCCACAATCAAAGATGGGTGCAACGGCTTATATCATCTAACCAATCAGCAACACAATCCACAATCAAAGATGGACACGAAGCTTGAGCGAGCCACCACCACCTTCACGCGGACCGGAGAAGCCGGACCCGGCATTACGCCGGCCGGTGCAGGTCGTAGAAGTGTCTCCCCAGCAGCTTGTAGGCGTGCTGGCTGTTGTTAAACCACCGGACCCTGAAGTCCCCGCACGTGACCGGTGACGTCTTGGGCGTGTACCCGTAGTAGAACTCCGGCACCCAGTACCTCCAGTTGTAGTCGATGTCGTTGCCGGTGGCGGCCTCCACTTGGAACTTCTGGGGGCCGGGGTAAAACCGCGGCCCGGGGAGGGGCGGCAGCCACGACGCTTTCGAGCCTTTCCCGATGAGATCCCGAATATATCCAGCCAGATCCTGGTGGAGAGAAATAAGAGCAGCGGTCATTCAGCGCGTTACTTAGCCCAAATTTACCGCGATACAAGTCTAAGTTTGCTTGAAAGTTGTCAGTCCTTGGTTCTACTGTAAGTACGTTTGCTAGTAGCTTACAATCCTTTTTCTTGTCGTACATATCTAATCCAGCAGATTACAATCCTTATTCCCAAAGCATGTATGCTAGTAACGTACAATCCTAAATCCCAAAGTAAATATGTTCGTAGTTTACAATCTCTAATCCTAAAATACGCATGTTAGTTACAGTTTAAACTAATCTGACAAAGAGTTTCTTATGATAAATCTACGTTCTACTTCAAATGGAGAGGCCATCACGCCTGCATAATTAAATTACAGAAAACGAAATGAAATTCTAACTTGTCTATTCTATTTGAAGTAAAAACCCAACTGCTGCTCTTAGTTCACGTGCCAGAAGTTGTGGAAATTATTCTTTGAAAATATAACATTCTATCGTTAATGAAATACTAGAACGTTAACAAATATGAAATATATTTTAAAATAAAATCAATGAAGTGTTACATTCAGTTTAATACATTGGTTATTTAAAAAAATATATTTATACACAGTGATGGAAAAATCTTTTTTTTAAATATTTGTTTCATGATGTTAAACTTGTTTTTTTTATGTTTGATTCAAGATGTGAACATAGTTTTTTCTGATGTTTGATTCAAGATGTTAAAATTGTTTTTCTGATGTTTGATTCAAGATGTAAAAATAGTTTTTCTGATGTTTGATTCAAGATGTAAAAATAGTTTTTGGACTTCCCGAAAACACGTCACACAATGTCGCGAGTCAAATAGTGGAGTGGCGCCGGTAAATGTCGTAGATACGACGACCCACGGGCCATGCAGCGTACTGAGTGCTGGCGTTGGCCACAAATTCCGGGTGGGTCATCCACATGGGCTGGGACAAGGCCGGCCTGGGGTACCACAGGTAGTAGTCGTACTCGGGGTTCAAACCGTCGATGGGGCTGAACTCGTAAAAATTCTCATCTTTGAATGGCGCCTCCAGTTCTGGGGGCTTATACTTGAGTCGTCTGCCGGTACATAACAAGTTCCGGATCCTGCCGGCTACATCCTGTCGACGACATAACAGCGGAAGTTGATGGTTTGTGATAAGTTTGGCAGAACACTGGATAGGTTGATCTTTTATGTGTGTACATGATACGGCCGTTTCGTAATGCAATACTTGACAACGGTTGATTACATTTCTTAATTAAAAACTTAGTTTTTAATTTTAAAAATAAATATTAAAGTATTCGGGCAGATTTGTTTAGTTTAAATTTTTATGCCCCACGTATTACTATAGTCTTGTTATACAATTTGCTTAGTAAATATATTAAAACGTTTTTTTAATATAACCAAGAATGCTTCACACGAGTCGTAAATTTAACAATACATCAACCGTCGACTAATTTTGAAAACAAAAATATGAATGAACATTATTCTGCATGAAGGATTGATCACGCCAAGAAAAAAAAAACCCAGCTGGATGAATTAATATAGAAAACACCGGCTCATAGTGGGGTCGTCATGACGGTTGAGTCTCCTGAAGCTTCCGCTGGGCGGACCCAGGCAGTAGGGCACGAGGTCCTGGTGGAAGAGATGCAGGCGGCTCGTGTCCACGTACGGCGAGAAGGGGGCGCGTCGGTGGGAGGCCAGTTCTCGTGTCTGGAGACAGATGCTCTGGAATAAAGGTCGCGGATCGTAGCTGGTTCTTCTGTGGGGAGTCGGTTGATTGGTTGGTGTCTTATAGATGGTTGCTGGTGTGTTAGTGTGGGGTGTAGGTATGTTGGTGTGTCTAACAAATTGTTGCTGGTGTGTTAGTGTGGGGTGTAGGTAGGTTGGTGTGTGTGTCTTACAAATGGTTGCTGGTGTGTTAGTGTGGGGTGTAGGTATGTTGGTGTGTCTAACAAATTGTTGCTGGTGTGTTAGTGTGGGGTAGGTCGGTATGTGTGTCTTACAAATGGTTATTGGTGTGTTAGTGTAGGATTTAGGTTGGTGTGTGTCTAACAAATAGTTGCTGGTGTGTTAGTGTAGGATTTAGCAATTTAGGTTTGTGTGTGTGTGTCTAACATATGGTTGCTGGTGTGTTAGTGTGGGGTGTAGGTTTGTGTGTGTGTCTTACAAATTTTTGCTGGTGTTAGTGTGGGGTGTCGGATTGTATGTGTGTCTAACAAATAGTTGTCTGAATGTTAGTGGGGAGCGTAGTTTGGTTTGTTTATCAAAATTGCTTTGGTTTTTTTTAATGGGAGCTCGGTACATTTTACTAACAAGCATAGCTCTTGGTAAAAAATTTAATTTTCCTTTGCTCTGAATACAGAAATACAATTCAAATGTGCTTCTTTTTTGTATCACTGCACATCATTGCATTAGTTTTCCTTCTGTTCCAAATGAAATCACACAATTTAAGAGTGTTCATATGACCAAAAGTACGGCCTGATTGTGAAACCCATTTCATTACCCAGCTTCTGTCAAACCAACACCGTTCACATTTTCGAATTAAAAACTACAGCGAAAAACGAAAATATTCATTGAGATGACATTTACATTTCCAGCATAAACTTGTTTTTATTTACGTTCACATATAAAATCGTGCATGACATTCGATGTATGGGGGCTTACAGGTTTTTATTTTACATTATATCATTTTAGATAATCGTATAAATATTTATAACACTTATATAACCAGGTAATGTAATTGCAATGGTGTTGTAGGTAAGGCGCCTACATATACATGTCTGTTATTGCAACAAAATTGCTGTGGTTAAGTGTTAACTAGCTATCATGATAAAATAATAGAATTAACTTTTTCAGAAGAAAAAATACAATTTCTATATAAATTTAATGGAATATAAAAGAAGGTCCCAGCGAAATTCTTTTTTAGCGAATCGATATTAGTATAGAGGTATATTTTAATTTTGAAGAATAAATGTTCTAAGTGGTATTTTTTTTTTGGGGGGGGGGCACTGAATAGCTCAAAATGTAATATTTCTATGGTACTGTTATGATCATCGAACATGCGCGATACAGCAGCGTATAAAGATGTTTATCTTCCGAGGTTAGGATTAGAGTTAAGGTGAAGGTTAGGTTAGCTTGTCGGCCATTATTGAGGAACCGTTAACATTTTAATAGACTCGAGCTGTTTTATATTCTTGACTATTTGAGCTCGCTGAGACCTTCCAGGAGAGAAACAAACAAGTTTCTTACCAAAATGTCACCGAAATGTGTGATGCCCATCTTCGGGAGTACGCATGCGTCAACTGTCAGCAGCTTCCTTCCATTGATGAAGTGGGACCGAAAATTTTCCTGGATATATAGAGGATGCTTAATACGTTGACATGTCATTCTAAGGTTTAAAAATGTAACATATATAACAGACATAAAAAAATGAGGCTATGATCAGTGGCGTAGGCAGGGGGGGGGGGCGGGGTTAGGGGGTCATAACCCCCCCCCCCCCCATAGACCCCTCGGTATATATATATAAAGTATGAGGGGGGGGGGGGGTTGCAAATCGGAAGTTTGAGGGGGGTGCAAATCGAAAGTTTGGGGGTGGGGGGTTGCAAATCGAAAATTTAAGGGGGGGGGGGGTGCAAATCAAAAGTCTGAGGGGGGGGTGGGGTGCAAATCGAAAGTTTGTCCACGGGTAAAAATTGGACCTCCCCCCCCCCCCCTTGAGACCATCCTGGCTACGCCACTGGACATGATATCATGTATACCATCAGTTTTTATTTTTAATTAGTACAATTAAGTAGAAGGAAGTGGCGCTGGGTGGGACACATTTCGAAAAGCCCACTCTAACGTGACACGCCAGGCGCTGGAGTGGAACCCCCAGGGAAAGCGGAAGAGAGGGTGCTCAAGAGAGACCTGGAGGCGGAGTCTTCTCGAAAAGTTGCAAAATTAACAGCCGGGGAACAGACGAAATGGATGAGTATGGTTGAGGCCCCGTGTTCCACAATGAATAAAGAGGATTGATTTAAGTAAGTCAAATTTTAATTATAAATGATCTAGCTAGGCACTATGTATTCTCACCAAAACAGCGATCGGGCAGTAAAAGTATACCAGTATTGTATCGATATTTTTTACCAGTATCGCTGCTATGGTCGGGATTAGGATTAGAATTGGTTTCAGTGTTTGAAATAGTGTCAGGGTCTGGGTCGCCTTATCATTCGTCCTGCATATTTGATCCGCCCTCAGAGAATTCGGGGAATGTAATTTAGAATAAACGATACTTTACCCCTACAATCTAACCGGAGCCTATCCATAAGCCGAGTTTGACTAAAGTGATGCGTGTTAAGAGGTACAGACAGCAATGTGGCGTAGAAAGGAACATTCCCTTGCAATCAACTTGCTAACTGTTTATGGATAGGGTGTGGGGGTTGGTGTAGTTGAGAGGGAGACATTTGATAGAGAGAGAGGAGAATGGACAGAGTGTAGGGTGGGGTTTGGGAAGGTGGAAAAGTTAGTGATTGAGGATGCAGTTCTGTCTAGGGAAGACCAAACTGTGATCAGTACATTGTAAAATAGCATAGACAATGCTGAACATAGGGTTCCTTCATAAACAATGTTGAGTTTTTAAAACGATTTTAACCCCTCCCCCCAACCCCCTTCCCCTCGTTACACACAATTCCGAGCACCCCTTTCTCCCAAAAAATAAAGAACCTTTACTTTATCTAGTACCTTATATTTAGCGTGGCCAATGCTATCGTTATAAATAACCTTTAACCATTACCTTACATTTAGCGTAGCCGATGCTGAACACAAGAAATAACCTTTTTTAACCCGTACCTTAGCCTTATATTTATGGGACGGAGTGATCTAGCGTTAGAGAGCTAGACTGCTAACCCGTAAGTCTTGAGTTCGAATCCGGGTTCAAGTGAGTAGACAGTCCCTGAGTCCACCCAACTCTGATGGGTACTTAACTCACGTTAAGGAGAGTAAAGGCGGCTGGGCATAGTGCTGATCTCTTTATATGCCGAGGTCACAGAAACAAGTGACAAGTAACTCTACTTCACTTGCCCCATAGACCGTCAGGTTTGAAAGGGAAACTTTTAGCCTTATATTTAGCGTAGCCTATGCTGAACTCAACAAATAACCTTTAACCAGTACCTTATATTTAGCGTAGCCGATGCTGAACTCAACAAATAACCTTTAACCATTACCTTATATTTAGCGTAGCCTATGTTGTCCCAATAAATAGCCTTTAACCAGTAGGGCCACCTTATATTAAGCGTAGCCGATATTAAACACAATAAATAACCTTTAACCAGTACCTTGTATTTAGCGTAGCCTCAGAGGCGTAGCGACCCTTCCCGGCGCCCGGGGACAAACTTTTCGATTTGCACCCCCCTCAAGATTTCGATTTGCACACCCCCCCCCCTCAAACTTTCGATTGGCACCCCACTTCGAGATTTCGATTTGCACCCCCCCCCCCAAACTTTCGATTTGCACCCCCCCCCCCTCGAGATTTTGATCTGCACCCCCCCCCCCTCAAACTTTCGATTTTCACCCCCCTCAACCTTTCAATTTATTTTTCCAACCCATTTTGGCGCCCCCTAAGGTCGGCGCCCGGGGACATATGTCCACCCCCTCGCTACGCTTCTGCGTAGCCGATGCTGAACTCAACAAAGAACCTTTAATCAGTACCTTATATTTAGCGTAGCCGATGCTGAACTCAACAAATAACCTTTAACCAGTACCTTATATTTAGCGTAGCCGATGCTGAACTCAACAAATAACCTTTAACCAGAACCTTGTATTTAGCGTAGCCGATGCTGAACTCAACAAATAACTTTTAACCAGTACCTTACATTTAGCGTAGCCTATGCTGAACATATGAAATAATCTTTAACCATTACCTCATAACGTAGCCGATGCTGAACTCAACAAATAACCTTTAACCAGTACCTTGTATTTAGCGTAGCTGATGCTGAACTCGTAACCTTTAACCAGTACCTTATATTTAGCGTAGCTGATGCTGAACTCAACAAATAACCTTTAACCAGTACCTTATATTTAGCGTAGCTGATGCTGAACTCAACAAATAACCTTTAACCAGTACCTTATATTTAGCGTAGCTGATGCTGAACTCAACAAATAACCTTTAACCAGTACCTCATATTTAGCGTAGCCGATGCTGAACTCATAACCTTTAACCAGTACCTTATATTTAGCGTAGCTGATGCTGAACTTAACAAATAACCTTTAACCAGTACCTTGTATTTAGCGTAGCCGATGCTGAACTCAACAAATAACCTTTAACCAGTACCTTGTATTTAGCGTAGCCGATGCTGAACTAAACAAACAACCTTTAACCAGTACCTTGTATTTAGCGTAGCCGATGCTCTCAATCCAATCCGCCACCTCGTCGATGGTCCAGTAGAAACATGCCGGGATACCAAACGGGTCATCTCGCCTCTGGACTTCTCGACGGACGATGTTATCAGCCATTTTTACACAGTATTTTTTGTTCACTATCTACTAGAAGCTTTTCTCTAAAAATAACTATATTCCAGAACTTTCCGTGGCAGTGAGTGGCGAAATTGATTGGAGTAGGCAGGAGATATTCGGACTAGCAACAAGCGGCGAGTGTTGCCTTGTCGGGGGAGAATTCAAAACATTGGGAATGGTGCGAGCTATGACGCGAACTACCCGGAAATGATGACAGAGAGTGTTTAAAAACAAGCGCATTTGGTGTAGAGAGTGTATAGCTTAAAAATTGAATAAATGTTGGGGAAAATACATTGGAGATGATTGCAAACAGGGGTCTTTAGACATTTTTCCCCAAGTGAGAGTAGGTTGGAACTCTAATTCCTGGGGTTGGGGGGGGGGGGGGGAACGGACGGGGGTGACACGGCACTTTTTAAATGTACATTGCCTTTTCTTCCGGGGAGATGCCTGAAAGAAACACTAGTTGCAAACATTCAAATAAATATTCACAGCAAAACGCTTTCATCGACATACAATGTAGGATGTGTTTGATTGTTGTCAATGCTATTGTCTATTGTGATCATTTCGTTGTGTAAGTACTAGGCTGTTATTGTGTTACTGTTAGGATTTTCATCTTGTTCAAGCTCTCTTCGATTGATGCGTTGGGACAGGAACTCGATTTCGCCTCTCCTCGTGTATGTCAGTACCCCCCCCCCCCCCCCCCCATTTAGTTTTTTTTTTAATGAACACTTTAAAGCTTGAAGCGGCTGCTTCAAACCACGTGATACAGCTATAACACACTTTCTTCTGCCAGATGTTTTGGTACACACGTTTCAGAACTCTGAACACATTAGGTCACGGTAAACTGAGTTCTTACACATCACATCTTTTTTTTTTTACTACAAAATGTAAACATCGAGAATTCTCACAGGATATTGTGCAATAGCAATCGTACCCCCCCCCCCCCCCAATCTCTTTCCTACACACACACACACTTACACAGTATTACACACACGTAATGCACTCGGCCATGCCGTTTATTTGTCTGTTATTAAATGCATCTTTGAATGAACGCCAGACAGTGCGCGCGCATATGGTCGTCATGATAGCGAGGCTACAGCACGTGAGAGCCATTGTGTACAAGTTGTAACACTCTTCTCTTACTTTCTTAACCTTCAACTTCACAAATAAAACAGTGTTTCTTTCAGACATATTTTCGGGGGGGGGGGGGCTAGAGCACGTCCACCGCCCCCTATCGAAATAGTACACATATATATTATAGAGTTAATATATAGCTTAACCTATGTCCATTTACCTCCTTCCGAAAGTTTCAAGTGCCCCCCCCCCCCCCAACCTTCAGGGAAAAACGTCTGAAATAAACATAAGTGTTTCTTCCAGACTCCGGGGGGGGGGGGGGGGGGAAGCACTTGACATTTTCGACGGGGAGGGGGCGGACGGGCGAACTGCATTTTCCGTGGGGGGAGGGGGCTCGGTCCCCCCCCCCCCCCCACCCCGAAGAGATGCCTTAAAGAAACTGACAAACACTGATATTTAAACATTCAGCCTCCCCTTCCTGGGAAAGTGACGTCATACATTGAAGTCCTTCCCTAGAAAACTGGCGAGAGAAATAAAAAAAAAGTGATGCAGTGTACCAATAAAATGGATTTTTAAAAAATTGTTGCTAATTATTTTAAGGACATGGCGCATTGCACGCATCTCCGCCGCTTAAAACTCCCGCCGTAAAATACGTCACAAGTCGAACTTTATCCCGCACATTTAACACACTTTTTTCCCCCCTGCGAGTTTTATCACCATGTTATAACCCCAAGGCCACGTTTCTATCGTAACACACGCTCATCAAAGTGAATGAGTTGTGAGTTACGCCATGTTTTTTTTTTTTTTTTTTTTAAATATTTCGTTTTAAAAGTGTGATCGGGAGACTAAACAATGAGGCGTCACACGAGTAAGGCTAAACACTTGAAAGTTTTTTTTTATACGTGTGCTGCTGGAAATCCATTCCGATTGAAGTGTGGATGCGGAACAGTAGCGTAGGCAAGAGCAGTGGCGTAGGCAGGGGGGGGGGGGTTAGGGGGGGGGGTCATACCCCCCATAGACCCCTCGGGGGGGGGGGGGTGCAAATCGAAAGTTTGTCCCCGGGTAAAAATTGGAACCCCCCCTTGAGACGATCCTGGCTCCGCCACTGGGCAAGAGGGGGGGGGGGGTAGGGGGGGTTATAACCCCTCCCATGGACCCCCCTATATAAATAGTCATATATATATATATGACTATATATATGACTATATATATGACTATATATATATATATATAGCCTATAGTTTTATATATATAGTTATATAGCCTATAGTTATATATATATATATATATATATATATATATGATTATATACGTATGGAAACATTTTTGAGCCCCTCCCATGACCGATTCCTGGCTACGCCACTGATACGTATAGACCACAATGGCGGATAGGAAAGTCGATGGAGGAATGCCAGTAGTCGCAATCCCCCCACCCCACCTATTCCCACTATCTAAAAATTCTTGCAGTTAAACTTGACCATGTCAATCAGAGCAGCATCAAAGTGAACAGCTGAGTTGATCTGCATCTCAGGAGACGCGCGTATGCTTAACCATTAACCCAGATTTTTCTTTCAGACTTCTTTCCAGACAGGGGGTGGGGGGTGGGGCAGATCACCCCCCCCCCTCACCTTAATACCCGGTAGAAATAAGGGAAAAAAACATTTTCTAGATAGAAAAAAATATTTTTTAACTAGTGTCCTCCTCACTCCCCTCCTCCCCCGCCCTCGGAGAAAAATATATAAAACAAGCCCTGTAACCCGCCGCCACCACCACCACCACTCCGTTTAAAGGTTTTGCTTGGATCTACTCATGATAAATAAAAAAAAAAAATCTTTCCACATGACCAGTAAAGCGGTAGGCCCTACTCACGTTCTAAACTTTCGAGCAACAAGGCGCTGCCTTCACCATAAACATAACGTATCAAATCATGAACATATCCTACAACCTTGAATAAGGCACTGTCTTAATCATTAACCTAACGTAGCAAAGCATGAACATATCCTACAATCTTGAACAAGGCGCTGCCTTAACCATAAACCTAACGTATCAAAGCAAGTGTTTGGGAGCAAAAAACTGTTTTAAAAATCAAATTTGACAAGCAAAGAGTCCACTATCAAAAGCTATCTCTTTGATAGCTTCAGTAATGCGTTATTAATTTTCTTTTTTATTAAAACACGGGGCAATGTGTAGCAGGAAGCGACAGAACTATCAAGGAAGGATGGTTAGACTTGCAGGAACCGCCATATTACCAAGTTCTATAACTCTACCGGTCATAAAGTTCCACAACTCTATCCGCCATAAAAGTTCTACAACTCTACCCCCACATAAATTACACTACCAAGTTTAACAACTCTATCCAACATATTACCAAGTTCAACAAATCTACCCACAATAAAAGTTCTACAAATCTACCCCACATAAACTATATTACCAAGTTCTACAACTCACACATAAACTATATTACCAAGTTCTACAATGCCCACATAAACTATATTACCAAGTTCTACAACCCCCACATAAACTATATAACCAAGTTCTACAACTCACACTTAAACTACGTTACCTAAGTTCAACAACTCTACCCGCCATAAAAGTTCTACAACTCTACCCCACATAAACTACATTACAAAGTTCTACAACTCTATCCGCCATATTCCAGGATGTACATCTCCACCTGCCGTGCTACCAAGCTCCACAACGCTACACTCCCCTGATACCAAGTCCCTAAACTCTGATTGCCCAATTACTCCGCACCGCGTGAGTGCTTATAAACTTGCTCACCTCTTCCCGTATCGCCAACTGCATCTTCTTGTCTGCACGTACAACGCTTACCTCCCTTCCCTTCCTTCACTAAGAAAAAATTTATTTCTAACCGTTTTCTTCGAACCATAGAAGCAGGAATTATTTTTCTTCGCGCGAGCAAGTTTGCACATGCGCAGCAGAGCGATAAACTTCTGGCGATTATTTTTTTTAAACTTTGAACAAACAAATGCTGTGAGCTTATGAGAGTTGACGTTCTTGAATAATTCACACATCACTAGTTTTCCTAGGCTGTGTGAGACAGACATGACTATAGAAGATATATAAGTAAGTAAGGGTTAAATGTAATTTTAGTGTTAGAAAAATGTAAGATAATATTGTAATTATGTAAGTGCTAGGTTAATAACAATGTTGTATTAAAAATTGAATAAAAGTACTTGCATTTGGATTTGGAGTGTAAAAAGTACTTGGTATTCTTTGCTGTTTAGGCTGAGATTGTTAAAAGTTATGGAGCAAGTATGTAATGTAATTTGTAAAGTGTTAGATTTCAATTGGATATTGGTATACGTTATTTTAATGTAAGATGTTAATTTTTCTTTGTAGGTTGGTGTGTACATTATGTGTGTAGGCCTACATGTTAATTTACACATGCTGAAGGTCACCAACATTAATATGCGTTAGTAACACCGAATATCTTGAACTATTTCTTTGTCTCATGTTTGTCTTAATGCTAGAAATGTCGGGTTGCCAGATATTTCGAAACACCATGTTACATTGCATTCACAATTTTTGTTCTTATAGTTATTATCATTTATTTAATACAATTTCTAAATATTAGGCCTAAAGAATTAATTATCATGTCATTATGGTTATAATTATTATAATCATTATAATTATTATTATTGTTATTCTTATTATTAATTATTCTTATTATTTTTATTGATATTATTATTATTATTATTATTATTAATTATTAATAATTAATTATTATTATTATTATTATTATTATTATTATTATTATTATTATCATCATCATCATCATCATCATCATCATCATCATCATCATCATCATTATTATTATTATTATTATTATTATTATTATTATTATTATTATTATCATCATCATCATCATCATCATCATCATCATCATCATCATCATCATCATCATCATCATTATTATTATTATTATTATTATAAAAATTACACAGACTTAACCCTACCGTATAAAGTGGAGCGATGTCAAGGACGGCCAGTGGACGTGTTCTGGCGCTTGGTGCCTTGAGCCTGCTACTGGTAGACGTTTGGTGCCACCCACAATGTCTGGATTTCCGGGCGCCATTCACACCGTCAGAACCGTTGGGGTTCTGTTCAGATTATTCCAGTCTGGGCTGTTGTAGGTCGGTCCCTTGTTTGTTCATTTCTTGTAGACATCTTTAGATGGGTGACATGTTTGTTCATTTCTTGTAGACATCATTAGATGGGTGACATGTTTGTCCATTTGTTGTAGACATCATTAGATTGTAGACATTTATGTCCATTTCTAGTAAACAATATTAGATAGATGGGTGATATGTTTGTCCATATCTTATAGACACCATTAGATGGGTGACATGTTTGTCCACTTGTTGTAGACATCATTAGATGGGTGACATGTTTGTCCATATCTTGTAGACATCATTAGATAGATTGGTGATATATTTGTCCATTTGTTGTAGACATTAGATTGGTGATATGTTTGTCCATTTGTTGTAGACAGTAGATTGGTGATATGTTTGTCCATTTGTTGTAGACATTAGATTGGTGATATGTTTGTCCATTTGTTGTAGACATTAGATGGGTGATATATTTGTCCATTTGTTGTAGACATCATTAGATGGGTGATATGTTTGTCCATTTGTTGTAGACATCATTAGATTGGTGATATATTTGTCCATTTGTTGTAGACATTAGATTCGTGATGTTTGTCCATTTGTTGTAGACATCATTAGATGGGTGATATGTTTGTCCATTTGTTGTAGACATTAGATTGGTGATATATTTGTCCATTTGTTGTAGGCATCATTAGATAGATGGATGACTTGTTTGTCTATCATTAGATAGATGAGCTGTTTATTTGGCCATATCTTGTAGATTTCATATTTGTTGCGTCGAATACCTCCCCCCCCCTCGACCTTTACCCCAACCCCATTCATGATTTTACAAACGGGATTTTTGAAACCTTTTTACACGCAACACATTTTTTATTTCTACTAGTGTAGAGACTGATGGAATTCTTAAAATACAGTATGATTACGTCATGTCCAAAGCCACGGAGGAGGAAAGGTCACGGTGTGGCCAGATGGTCAAGGACATCACGTGCCAGCACTGCTCGCCCTACGCGGCTCACATCTATGACGCCGAGGGCACGTCGAGGGCGCGTGGGTTCCCGGGCCTGTGCCGGGGCTACTGTGAGAGCTACTACGATCAGTGCAGGAACCTGACCACGCTACTGTACCCTAGGCTCAAAGACCGGACAATTTTGGATTCCAAAGACAGGTATAGTAAATGTTGTTTGTTGGGGATGTGTGTGTGTGGGGAGGGGGGGGGGGGTCCAAAGACAGGTGTAGTAAATGTTGTTTGTTGGGGATGTACTGGAGGGAGGGCGTCCAAAGACAGTTATTGTTATGTTGTTCATTAGTGGTGTATTGGGGGGGGGGGGGGCGTTCAAAGACAGGTGTAATAAATGTTCGTTGATGATGTACTGGGGGGGGGGGCGTCCTAAGACAGGTATAGTAAATGTTGTTCGTTGGGGATGTGGGGGGGGGGGGGGGCGGCCAAAGACAGGTGTAATAAATGTTGTTCGTTGGGGATGTACTGGGGGGGGGGCGTCCAAAGACAGGTATAATAAATGTTCGTTGGTGATGTAGGGGGGGGGGGCGTCCAAAGACAGGTACGGTAATGTTGTTCATTGGTGATGTACTAGGTCGGCGTATGGTGTTCTACTTTCTATCTAGGTTTGATGGGCACCTGAATAATCAGGGCAAAGTAAAGGCTGGTGGGCATAGAGCAGATACACTTTCATATCAGATGAATTCTACTTCATCTACCGTATGAACAGTTAGACCTTGATTTTTTTTTCTTAATTTCATTTATTTCATCTTTTGTAACATTTTTGAAAATTATCTAGACCCAAGGCGGTGCTTTGGACTTGTGTAAATAAAGTTTATAACTAAGAAAGGCTGTGGAATCAAAGGTTGTATACTTTAAAAATTACACCGGCTACATCATCGGGATTCAAGTCCTTAAGCCAGTTCGCTCGGCATACTTCAGTTATAATAGGTTATTTCATGAAATCAATGCAGCAAACTTGTTTCTACCCCCAGTTTCTGCCGCAGTGTGGCTCTGAGTGACGCAGACTATTGCTATCCCGACCTACTACAAAACCCGATGCTCTTACGAAACCTGAGCAACATCCAAGCCGGCAATGCACCCGCTGGGTGTTTGTGCTTGGAGAAGATCGGCAAAAAGCTGGCCAATCCGCTGTGGGCGCGTCACGCGGGAGACAACTCCAAAAGATTATTTGTGGCCGAACAGGCAAGTCAAGTAATAGGGCTGGTAAGTAGGTCACCAACCGGTTCTGCGGCTCAATAAAATTTGCATGAGCCATAGAACTGTTGGTGACCTACTTACCAGCCCGATTTTAACATGTCTTTTCCGGTATTATTTCCTTCCAAACATTCAGTAAATGATTAAAACATCTGCCTCAACATCATTTTTATAATATCCAAAGATGAAAAAAAAAACGTCTTAAAGATTTTTAATAAAACATGCAATTCTGTGTCAATAAAATTGATAAACATAAACATTTCTTACAGCGATTGCCAGCTATTTTATCTTCTTTTTTTTCTTCATCTTACCAGAGGGGGCGAGTATACATATACAACACGCACACAAGAAAACGGATACGTTCTCCTTTCCTAGACTTCAGCAAGAAAGTCGTCGTAGATGGACACGAGGGGGATGAACGCGGCTTCCTGGGCATGGCCTTCCACCCCTCCTTCTCGGAGAATGGACGGTTCTTTGTGTACTACGTCATGAAAACGAGAGAGGACGAGGCGATTCCAAAAGAGCTGGTGGGGTTGGCGTCGAGCTTCGACACCAAGGTCCGCGTCAGTGAGCTGAGGGTGATGGGAGACAACCCGAACAGGGCCGATCATCAGTTTGAGCGGGTCATCCTGGAGGTGCCGCAGCCGCATGATAATCATAATGGAGGGGAGGTAACTATAACTAAGTGTTCGATAAATATAATGGAGGGGAGGTAAATATAACACACGTCGGATAAATATAATGGAGGGGAGGTAAATATAACTAAGTGTTTGATAAATATAATGGAGGGGAGGCTACTATAACTAAGTATTTGATAAATATAATGGAGGGGAGGTTACTATAATTAAGTGTTTGATAAATATAATGGAGGGGAGGTTACTATAACACACGTCGGATAAATATAATGGAGGTGAGATTGTTACGGGTCAGTTGTATGTTAGATAGAAATAGGCTAGAATAATCTAGAACTAGGGGAGAGTGCGTGTGTGGGTTGAGTTTACCCTAGAGTATTGTTAACCCCGGTGTGTTTATGTATTGTTATTAACACGTGTTTATTAACTCAGCTTCGCGTGTGTTTGTTTGTTGTTAAAATTGACATCGAAAATTAGCCCACTTCTGATTGCTCTATAGATCTGAAATTTGGCATGCAGGCTACTTTCGCCTAACAATTTCAGATGCAATCATAACAACTAGCAATTAGAGACCGTAATTAGCTTAATTTAATTACGCCCTAAGGACCATAAAATTGAGGACATGATTTCTAAAGATACCGACAAGACTGGAGGCCTATTGACACAGTTACTTCGATGTGAGCGCGCTGGCCGTGATCGTATAGTGGTTAGTACTTCGCGTTGTGGCCGCGACAACCCAGGTTCGAATCCTGGTCGCTCAAGATTTTTAGTCCGTGTATTTATAAACACTTAGTCAAGTCATACTTAATCAAGTCATTAGATAAAGTAGAAAATAAACTATATAAAAAACTTTTTTAAAAACCACGTTTTTCATGTGTAGCAACGGACTAAAAAGGAGAAAATAAAATACTTAAAAAAAACTTTAAAAAAAACCACGTTTTTCTTGTGGACTAAAAAGTAGAAAATAACTATTTACATACATTTGATGACAAAAAACGTGGGTCGGGCAGATGGGTCGGGAAATTTGATGGTGAACGTACCCACGTTTTTTGTCATCAAATGTATGTAAATAGTTATTTTCTACTTTTTAGTCCACAAGAAAAACGTGGTTTTTTAAAAAGTTTTTTAAAAGTATTTTATCCCAATGTCGAATGCGGTATAAAATCCGGAGTGAATGGATGTATAGGGGTTACTTGATAGCGTTTAGGGCGAGGGCTACTCTGTTGTGGAAAGCTGAGACCAAATAAAAGTACTGAAGATTGTCACGAATCGTTGTCTGAGTTGAACTAAACCCGGACTTAACAGAGGTAACTATAAACGAGTGTTCTATACATAATATGATGGAGGGGAGGTAAATATAAAAAAAATGGCGGGGAGGTAAATATAACATACGTTGGATAAATATAATGGAGCGAAGGTTACTATAAAGAAAAATAAATAAATAAAATACTTAAAAAAAACTTTTTAAAAAACCACGTTTTTCTTGTGGACTAAAAAGTAGAAAATAAATTTTCATACATTTGATGACAAAAAACGTGGGTACGTTCACCATCAAATTTCCCGACCCATCTGCCCGACCCACGTTTTTTGTCATCAAATGTATGAAAATTTATTTTCTACTTTTTAGTCCACAAGAAAAACGTGGTTTTTTAAAAAGTTTTTTTTAAGTATTTTATTTTCTCCTTTTTAGTCCGTTGCTACACATGAAAAACGTGGTTTTTAAAAAAGTGTTTATAAATACACGGACTAAAAATCTTGAGCGACCAGGATTCGAACCTGGGTTGTCGCGGCCACAACGCGAAGTACTAACCACTATACGATCACGGCCAGCGCGCTCACATCGATTGGGGCCGAAGTAACTGTGTCAATAGGCCTCAAGTCTTGTCGGTATCTTTAGAAATCATGTCCTCAATTTTATGGTCCTTGGGGCGTAATTAAATTAAGCTAATTACAGTCACTAATTGCTAGTTTTTATGATTGCATCTGAAATTGTTAGGCGAAAGTAGCATGCATGCCAAATTTCAGGTCCCTAGAGCAATCAGAAGTGGGCTAATTTTCGATGTCAATTTTAACAACAAACATCTAAACAACCAAACAAACAAACGCGAAGCTGAGTTAAGAAAAACGTGTTAATAAAGGGGAGGGGAGTTTTTTCATATTGGGGAGGGGTAAGTAGAACAGACGTTCTATAAACAGGCGTTCGATAAAAATAATGGGTTGGAGGTAACTATAAAGAAAAATTTGATATTCATAATTCAGGGTGTTAACTATAATAAAGACGTTCAAGAATCATAATACATGTTTTTTTTTAAAAATAAAAATGGATATTCTGATTGTGTGACTTTAAAACAGGATGTGTTTCTACCAATGGAGTTGAGTCCAACATTTTTGCCTTTTATCTCTATAATGTAACCACATAACTAGATGCTGACGACGACCTATGTACGAAACGTCGTGTTGTAACTGTATCTGTCCTTAAATTGTGAACTATCTGCACTATCTATTTTCCGAATATTTTTATATTTGCCCCTGCGTATCGCCATACTAAAGGCACTAAAATAACAAGTCGGGTGATAATATAGAGCTCTAAATTATGTAGTTTTAAAAGGGTGATATGGGTTTCTAGCGAAAAAAAGAGAAAAAAGTAAATCAAATTATTCTCACGTAAGATAGTTCAGGTTCCAATTTTTTTTTACGAACTTTCAAAACATTTCGGAAGAAAAGAGTGAGTGTGTGGTTTTTGTGAAGAGGCAACGTATGCGTTAGAATAGTGAGTAACAACTTTAATGATAAAGCCAGTAATGAAGACATCACAAGATCCGCTAAAGTGGGTGATTAAGATTTACGGGACGTTTAATTATTCATGGCGTCTGTGGATTTTTTTTTTGTGTGATTTTTGTGTGTTTTTTTCATATCAAGAGAAGAGTACATTGAAGGATTTGTGTTAACTGAACACATTTGTACATCTCAGTACTAGTGTCTGGTTCTTAGCACTTGTACTCTGTTGTTGGGTAGTGATGTTGGGTGGTGATGTTGGGGTGGTGATGTTGGGTGGTGATGTTGGGTGGTGATGTTGGGTGGTGATGTTGTGGTGGTGTTGTTGAGTGGTGATGTTGTGGTGGTGATGTTGGGTGGTGATGTGTGGGGTGGTGATGTTGTGGTGTTGTTGTTGGGTGGTGATGTTGTGGTGGTGATGTGTGGGGTGGTGATGTTGGGGTGGTGATGTTGTGGTGTTCTTGTTGGGTGGTGATGTTGTGGTGGTGATGTGTGGGGTGGTGATGTTGGGTGGTGATGTTGGGAAAGGTATGTTTGTGTGATGATGATGGGACTGTGATGTTTGGGTGTGGATATTGAAATGGTGATGTATTGGCGGTGATTCTAGAATAGTCATCGATGAGTGGTGGTGTTTGGAAAGCGATGTTGGGGGTGATGCTGGAATAGCGATGTTAATGGTGATGATAGTATTAGAAAAGAATTGATTAAAAATTAATAATAATAATATAAAGAGTATCAATTGTAGTGGTATTGGGTTACAATAGTGATGTTATGGTGTCTGATTTAGGATATGAATGTTGCGTTACTTATAATTAAAATAGTGATCAGATTTCTATCAAGTTTATTTTTTTAAAACCTCAATTCTTGGCAGTGATGTTGTGCTGATGATGTAACAATATACTGATGTTTGGATGGTGATGATGTGTTCATGATGTTGTGATCATGATGTTGTATTAGTAATGTTTGGATGGTGATGTTGTGCTAATGATGTTGTGATCATAATTAAACGACTACCTTTATATTTGTTTACACCCGAAGCTGTTCTTTGGCCTGGATGGTTACCTGTACATCTCTGTAGGCGATGGCGGAGGTTCAGGTGACCCAATGGGAGCAGGTCAAGACAGGTAGGTTGAGTTGACCTGACAGGTTGGGAGAGTACAGGAGTGGCGTCTAGCAGGGGGGGGTGGTCATTTTATATCAGAATTAAGTCAGATTATGCTTAGTAGAGGCTGTTTATACACATACCCAGGCCATCTACCACCCGCTAACATCCCACACAAACTACTCACACCACACACAAAAACATTTTTTTCCTTAGAAGTGATCAATACGAAACACTTATGTACAACATAAAGGATTGCATTATTGTTTAGTAAAACTACAAGTAAATATTCTCACTTGCAATGGCATAACACACACACACATGCACACACACACGCACTCCTATTTGATTAGCTGCTACATCATAGAACGTTGCACAGATAAAGTCCTCTCCCTTGAGTACATCAATTGTGTGAAGAGAAAGGGGGGGGGGGGGGGGGGATTGTCTGGTACATGGGCGACATCTGGTTCTTCTCACCTTACCGGCCAGGCTTTGTGTTCGGATTTCCTATTCGCTATAATCTAATAGCCTATTAAACTATATATATATATATATATATATATATATATATATATATATATATATATATATATATATATATATATATATATATATATATATATATATATACATATACATATATATATACATATATAACGTTATTCGACCTATTGTGTAACATGAACAGGCCGTTAACACTCTCTGCTTTAGTTTCTGGCTCCTTAAATTAACACCTCAAATATTCAAATGTTGTCTATATAGAGGAATTCACAGAGTCGTAGGAGATCCCGAGAATAGATTATTTGCTTGGTATCTTTGAATCAGTGGATGGGGTCCAATATAATTGTTAGAAACACTTTAAATTCTGTATGATTGTTTTCACGGCCTGTAACTCTGATGTTTCTAGGGCTCTGCTTCATGGGAAAATGCTGAGAATTGACGTGGATTCTGAGAAACCTTATGGGATCCCACCAGACAACCCGTTCGTTGGGGTGAGCGGGGTCAGGCCAGAGATATACGCCTACGGCCTGAGGAACATCTGGAGGTGTGGACTGGATAAGGGCTACAACAGAACAGGTGAGTAGTCTCACACCTAATGTTTATCGGGGTATGAACTTGGTAAAGGCATCAATAAAATGGATGAATAGCTTTGTACCTTTCGCACATAGAGTTTCTTTCATGCATCCCTCCTGCACGAAATAGAAAAAAAAATTAAATATAGAAAATATATTATTTAATCCATATTTATTTGACCTAGATGAACCAAGTGGCCGGGTACTTTGTGGTGATGTAGGCCAAAACAAATTTGAAGAAATCGATCTTCTGGTCAAGGGAGGCAACTACGGGTGGAATTCTCGTGAAGGCTACGAGTGTTTTGACGACGAGACTTGCGGTAAAATAGGTAATTTACATATCCAATTTATCAGCTGCGAGCAATACAACATTGTAGTTAATTAAATACGTTTTCCTTCTGAATCTTGAGCTGAAAAAACTTTTCAGACTACTACGGCCTAAATCTGTATCAGAGAACCACACAGTAAATAAAAGGATGAAAAATGTACTAATTAGATTCGTAGGCAATTTCGCGAAATTGCGTAAGTCTGTCTTTTAATATACAGTGTAGAGTGTAGAGCTTCATACACATTGAGATAGACTATTGGTAGTCAGACCAGGATCACGTGCAACGAGACTTTCCGAACGTTGCCTCTTGGGCGCTTGTTCGATGGACATTGTTTCTCTGCTCTACTCCAGGTCCTTGTTCTAAGGACATTGTTATGTTTCTCTGCTCTTAAGGACATTTCTAATATTTCTGTAGTCTTAAGGACATTTTTATGTCTCTCTGCTCCTAAGGACATTGACATGTTTCTCTGCTTTTAAGGACATTGTTTTTCTAATCTCAAGGATATTGATTTGTTTCTCTGCTTTTAAGGACATTGTTATGTTTTTCTGCTCCTAAGGACATTGATATGTTTCTCTGCTTTTAAGGACTGTTTCTCTGCTTTTAAGGACATTGTTTTTCTAATCTTAAGGACATTGATATGTTTCTCTGCTCTTAAGGACATTGTTATGTCTCTCTGGTTTTAAGGACATTGTTATGTTTCTCTGCTCTTAAGGACATTGATATGTTACTCTGCTCTTAAGGACATTGTTATGTTTCTCTGCTCTTAAGGACATTTTTTTCTAATCTTTAGGACATTGTTATATCTCTCTGCTCTTAAGGACATTGTTATGTTTCTGCTCTTAAGGATATTGTTATGTCTCTCTGATCATCTCCAGGTACTGAGGTGTTGCCCGTGCATGCCTACAACCACACGACAGGCAAGTCTGTGACGGGTGGGGTGTTCTACCGAGGGTGTGAGAACCCTTCATTGAACGGCCAGTACATATATGGGGACTACGTCAGCAGGTCAGTCACCTGTGGTGTGTTGGTTGAGTTTGGTGGGGCTGTGGTGTTCGCTAAGCTGTTTTAAATTGAATTCATTTTATTGTTTTTTTTTTCGTTTAAAATTCCCCAAGTTATCATTTTTAATTGGTGTTTACTGGGTTGATAAGGGGAAAAAATTAACAAAACACACTTTCAAGAAATGAAGCAACATGTTAAATGTCTACTAATATCCAGCTATATGATCAAGATGATGATGCCAAATATTTATAAAAATGTCCGTTACCATAGAAACTTGGTCATGTTTCAGTCGCCTGTTCTCATTGGTTGAGTCGGAGGGCCAATGGACAAATAAAGAGGTCAACCTCTGCGGGCCTTCCCTGTGCCAGGGTTGGCTGGTTGGTGAGATGAAGGACTACGTTTTGTCGTTTGGGGAGGATGAGGACGGTAGGTTGGTGTGTTAGGGTTGGCTGGTTGAGTGGTTGGCGAGATGAAGGACTACGTTTTGTCGTTTGGGGAGGATGAGGACGGTAGGTTGGTGTGTTAGGGTTTGCTGGTTGAGTGGTTGGCGAGATGAAGGACTACGTTTTGTCGTTTGGGGAGGACGAGGACGGTAGGTTGGTGTGTTAGGGTTGGCTGGTTGGCTGGTTGAGTGGTTGGCGAGATGAAGGACTACGTTTTGTCTTTTCGGGAGGATGAGGACGGTAGGATGGTGTGTTAGGGTTGGCTGGTTGGCTGGTTGAGTGGTTGGCGAGATGAAGGACTACGTTTTGTCTTTTGTGGAAGATGAGGACGGTAGGTTGGTGTTTTAGGGTTGGCTGGTTGAGTGGTTGGCTGGCTGAGTGGTTGGTGAGATGAAGGACTACGTTTTGTCGTTTGGGGAGGATGAGGACGGTAGGTTGGTGTGTTAGGGTTGGCTGGTTGGCTGGTTGAGTGGTTGAGTGGTTGGCTGGTTGAGTGGTTGGCTGGTTGGCTGCTTGAGTGGTTGGCGAGATGGACTACGTTTTGTCGTTTGGGGAGGATGAGGATGGTAGGTTGGTGTGTTAGGGTTGGCTGGTTGGCTGGTTGAGTGGTTGAGTGGTTGGCTGGTTGAGTGGTTGGCTGGTTGGCTGCTTGAGTGGTTGGCGAGATGGACTACGTTTTGTCGTTTGAGGAGGATGAGGACGGTAGTTTGGTGTGTTAGGGTTGGCTGGTTGGCAGGTTGGCGAGATGAAAGACTACGTTTTGTCTTTAGGTTGGCATTTCAAGGTTGGCTGGTTGGTGGGTTATTCAGCTGATTGGTGAAATGCCCAGTTGGATGCCATCTTAATGAATGGACTCTAAAAACTTTACATTTATTAACAGGACGTCAACTGGGCAAAACTAACGAAACATTAATTAACTAACTAGTCATTAAAAAACTAAACTTTAATTAACTTGACATAATACAATCAAGTACAATCTAACAAAACACGAAATAACTAGACTAGAACACCCCATGACACCCGCTGTGTATCTCCGTCTGTCAGGTGAAATCTACTTGCTAACCAGCAAAAGTTCGTCCAGTAGCAAGACTGATGGTGCCATCTTTAAAGTCGTAGATCCCATTACGTAAGTAAACAAATCTGTTTTTTTTAAAAGTATGATTAAAAGTTATAAAGTTCGTTAATCCGGTGTAGGGGGCGGGTCCGTTAAATGAGGAATCACTTTAAAAGGGTTCGTGTGTATTTTTCCCCCCACTTCCAAATTTAACATTTTCATAATTCATCACCCCTGGTATTATTTGATAATAATTGCAATCGTCCTCTGCTTTCATCACCTGTTTATTAGAAACAGTTCAAGTCCATGAATAATGTTTAAGCTTTAGAAAACCAGCGGTTTTAGTTTAGGGGTCATCCATATATGACGTCACGCTTTTTTTTGACGATTTTACCCCCCCCCCCCCTCCCCTCCGTCACACATAGTCACAAAAAGCCAGACCCCCGCCCTAAAATGACGTCACACCTCAGCCTACAACCCCCCCTCAAAATTGCAGTTGAATTTTTCTTAAAACATCGACATTTTTCCAAAAACTTGTCTGAACTCTGTCAACATAGAGTATATGAATCAATTCCTATTACAATTTATTAAAACCGTTTTCTAAAACTCGATATAAGGGCTAAAACTTTTTTTTTAACATTGCTTTTTTATAATGCAAAAGTATAACGTCACACCATCTGACCCCTTCCCACCCCCCACCCCCCTCATCACACACCGTGCCAAAATTACGGACCCCCCTCTCCCCTACGAGTGTGACGTCATTTATGGACGACCCTTTATTCGCCCAACCATTCTAAGCCATGATGCATCTTCTATGCGCTGTGTAATCAGTGCAATCGTCCTCTGTTTCCATCACACTTTCGTTACAAATAGTTGCAAATCCACGTACGATGTTAATTCAAATTGATCCAACCTTTCTAAACCACTGTGCATCATCCATGAGCTATATCTGCACGACCCCCCCCCCTTCTGCTGTTGATCCCCAGGCGAGATGACCCATCCAAGTGTTCTAAGGACTTGACGATGCCGACTTACGCCCGCGCACCGAAACGAAGAAAGCACAGATACGGTAGGTCATGTGATCAAAAGTCTTTTTACTTTCTCGTATATACGTAGTATAGAGAAAGTATTGTAATCGTGCAAAAAAAAAAAAATCGAGATTTTTACAAATCTCGACGTTTTACACCTCACTGATACGGAAAAACATAATTTTGCAATCTTGTCCGTATGTCTGTGTGTGTGTGTGTCTGTCTGTCTGTCTGTCTGTCCGTGTGTAAACACGATAACTTGAGTACCGTTACAGCTAGGTTGATGAAATTTCATATATAAGTATTTTATCAAAATCGTAGATCCGTATCAACTTTTGAGCGATTTCCGATAACCGGAAGTGGTACTTTTCCTACTTTGAATTTTTTAAAAGCCTATAACTTGAGTACTATTTCAGATAGATAAATGAAATTTCACATGTAAGTAAAAGATCTAATTCTCTACCTTCTGTTAAATTTTGAGTAATTTCCGTTGACTGGAAGTAGTAATTTACGCTACTTCCGATTTCTCAAAAAACTAATGTAAATTTTTAAAGTACTAATAATATTGCGCACTATTATACGCGTTTTTATTCGGCGTTTGCTTGGTGCGCAATGTTTTTTTATGAGATTCTATTCTATTTTTAAAAGTTTAAGTATTTAAAATGGATTAAAAATCATAACTATATCCCCAGTTACCATCCCCTGTTGTTTTATATAAGAATATTCGAGAAAGTTTAGGGGAGATCACTACCGGTTTATTATAGATTGTATTTACGTGTTGTATTTACAGCTGCTTTGCGCGGCGTTGACGCTGTTTTAGCTACAAATTCGGTAGTGTGATCTCAATTGCAACAATGCCGTAGACTTATAAAAAAAATATTTAAAATCCTTTCTGGTAGACATATTAATGCTTCTTCTTTATAATCTTGTCGTTAACACGAACCCCACCCCCACCACGATCCTTGCCCATAAGGTAGAGGGACGCTGTCAGAGATCATGTTGCCTGCTCCGTCTGTGAACGTTGTGGCTTGCCAGAAAGAAAAAAAACTTTTTTTGTTGTTGCAAAATACAATACATTCAATGTTACTGTGTTGGTCCCAACAGTTGACTCACCCAGAGGCGTAGCGACCCTTCCCGGCTTCCGGTGACTAACTTTTCGATTTGCACCCCCCCCCCCCCTCAAGATTTTGATTTGCACCCCACCCCCTTCAAACTTTCGATTTTCACCCCCCTCAACCTTTCAATTTATTTTTCCAACCTATTTTGGCGCCCCCTAAGGTCGGCGCCCGGGGACATATGTCGTCCCCCCGCCCCGCCCCCCCCCCTTGCTACGCTACTGGACTCACCCCCCCCCCCCTGATTTATTATATTGGCCTATATAATTTATTATGCTGGCTTATGTTTGACTTTCATATTTTAAACTTGCTATTTTTAATATGTCCAGGCAAAGACCGGCTTACGAGAAAAAGAAAAGTTGCCAGGAAGACGTTCATGAGCCAAATGGGTAACAGCACATCTACGATGACGCGACCAAAAAGCCAAAGGCCTTCGTCTTTCTCGCGATACTGGCGCCTCAAACAACGTACTAAGCGCAGAAGGCAAATGAAAAGATTATGTCGCAAGAATTTTGAAGCTGCGAATGACGAAAAGCTAAGCCCGGGTGAGGAGGACAGGAGAGAAATCTGCCAATCTTACTTCGCGAAAAAAAAGCGGCGAACTAGTAGAAGAAGAGGCCGAAAATACGTGAAAGATGCGACTGCGCTGGAGCAAACTATTAATTAGAACTAATGAATAGTTTTTAGTTGTTGTTTTTTTTTCTTTGTGTTGTTGTTACCAAACAGTATACATTATTTTCTCTTTGCAAAGTTTTAGGTGTTGATTTTTGCTCAATAAAAGTGTAATGCAGTCATGTATTTATAGTTCTGAAGTTTGAATAAACGGGATTTCAATAAAAAATTTTGTAATCAAATATTAAGAAAAGGATTCGTAACTGATTAAACCAGCATTATCGTTTGTTTTCTACCAGGGTTTTTATTTTTTGTCATTATCTCCTTTCTTTTGTCAAAATTATTAATTACGTTTTATTGTTAGCTGGTGTATATTCGATCAAACAGGTTTTGTTCGACAGTGGTGTGACTGGATTTTTTAATGTTTTTATTTTTAACATTGAAAAAGAGGAGATTGTGTGGTCGCCTATCAGCATAAAACAAAGAAAGCTGATTTTATTTTTCCTCGACTCAAGACGTGTACCACAGATTTCTTAAATTAAAATTAAAACTTTCGTGTTAAAAACTGTGTTCTAGAAAAAAAAAACCCTCTAACTTATCATTCAAAACTAAACATAAAACAAGGGGGGTGACGACGGTGTATTGAAATATCTTAATTAAATTGACCGAGATCTAATTTGGGATAGCTGTTATACTGGGATCGATTTCCGGACGGTGACAATTTTTTCTTGAGACTTTTTTTTTCGACGTAAAAATTAAAATATGCCTCAACTGTCATTAAAGAAAAATTCTTTTGCCTGTTTTAAATATATTATTAGAATGGGCTAAATTTCGTCTGTTCTGCAGATCTACAGTAATGGTAGCATTTGAAAAGTGTTAGATCTAGTTAGAAACGGAAGGTTGTTCAAAAAGAAAGACATATTCGAATGTAAAAACATATTATTTAAAAAGTAATTGAGTAGTTTCCTTTAACTTTTGTTAATAGAGATTTAAAACCAAATCTAATTATTGAAAAAATATTGAATTGGGCAAGTGAAAAAGAAATTGTAGAAATTTTAAAAGTAAACTAACTTAAACTGGCATTTTCATTGTCAATTAATAAAGCCAAGGGGAACAACCAAAGAAATACCGAAAACAGAACAGGCCAAGAAGAGTTACAGTAACATTGACTTGAATGACGAAGGTCTAAGCTGTTTTAGCCACGCCCACAATTTTTTAAAAGGCCATATCTTACCTCCTAATTACGCTAGAGACACAAAATTAGTATTAATGCGCAGGGAAAAAAATCTTGTAGTTTTTTGTGGTATAATTTTACTTGAAATTAGTGGAGTTTAAAAATTACGAGCAACAGCCTAGTTACAGAGAAAGGAAAACGGTGACCTTTGATCGGGTTGTTGTTCTTCTTATCAAATTTTTTAGTTGTGTTCTGTGTCTACCTGAATAAAAACGATCTAAAAGGAAAGAATAAATAAGGGCCCCACATATTTTCTTAAAACGTAAATATAGATTTATTATTAGGCCTATATTTTTACAATTCCTGAATGTATAAAAAAAAAGTAGAAAATAACATGCTCAATTTAAAAACAACCTTATAACTGCTTTAGAATTAGAAATCAATAAAACATTTAACAAATTTACTCAAAATGTTTTATTTGTCATCATGTCAGACTATTTTTAGTATCTTTCATCCATATTATGTTCACGCGCTTTTTACTACTACTCTTCATAGCTGGACATTGATCAACAACTGTCATTCTCTCCAGTTGGTTCCATAATCAGTAGAAATTAACGTCCTTGTAATTTTTATGCCCCTAAACAACACCTCAACTTGTTTGTTAGGCCTAGCTCTACTAGAGAAACCTAAAATTACGAAACATAATGCATTGAAAGCAATACGAGCGCGGTACTGTAACTTAACGTGAGACAGCTGTCTTGGTTAGATATGCTACCTGTTAAAAATATCGCCACCCTCCCCGATATTCACATAAAATAGCAAAATAATGAACCATTCACTACCTCGCAAAACCATGTCTGATTTCAATCGACTCGAATGCAATGTAAGTGTAAATTATATTTTATTTGAATCTAGATAGATCTAGATCTGGAGTCGAGATTTAGAATTAAGCTTTTCGAAAATCTGCACAACCCGGTGTCCTTTTCTGAAATGTAAACAAATCCTAGATTCTACCTTTTCCTTGTTTTTACAATTCATGTATGCTAAAACTTATTAACTATTAGACTAATGTCGTTATTAACTTATTTCTGTTAGTCATAATTAATTAGCAAGGGATCTTTATGTTGTCTAAAAAATAGTTGGAGGCTAGATCTAGATTCTAAAAGGATCTCTAGTTCTCTATCTCGACTATCTCTACAAGTTCTACAACACACTCTGAGAGTCACTCTGACTCTAAATAAAAATTAAATAGTGAATAAGAGTCTTAAGTTTACTTGAGAAATATCCAAAATTTGGAATATTTAGTAGGCCTATTATTAAGGCCTAGGTAGGCCTACTAGCCTAACTACTATTAATTTATCTAGATCTAGATCTAGATTAAAAATTTTTTCTTGAAAATATGTTCCTGTCAGTTAAGATTTTCATGGCAATGGGTAAAGTAGAAACGCAATGGGTATAGTAGAAACACAGAATTGCAAGACATGATTCTAATCTATGATGTATGCTGATAATTAAAATTAATGTGAACTCACAGTGACCATGTAGGGATTTTTCTCACGCCGACAATCTCACGCTATTTAAGTGGAACTGTAATGCTTAATGTTTATAACGAGCCGACCCGCGGCGTATTATACGCCGCTATTTAGTTGTTTTATTTTCTACTTTTCAGTAATTCATAATTTGTGAATTCGACAGTACCAATGCTGCCACTGAAAATATTTGCTTTAAAACACTACCCCCCTTTCCCCTAACCCAACCCTACACCCCCCCCCCGTGAAAGCAGCCACCTCTTAGTTACCTCCTGTAAGTTTAAAATCGTTTCAAACTAAATCATCTGCCCCTAATAACCGTCACTAAACCCGGCTCTACGATTTGTAAACATTTAGCGTGACCACAGCTCACCAGACCATGTGGGGATGGGGTGGGGAGTGGTAGTGATAGTGATAGATTTTATTAATTGGGGGGGGGGGGGGGGGGGGGGGGAAACGGGACTATAATGTCCTCGACCCAGCTTTGATATGCCAAGCTGGTATTCTATTAGTACCATTTTTTCTATTGCTTCTTAGATGAACTTTATATTTGAGTTAATAATGTATTAATCTTTTTGGCCCATTATATCAGTCTTTCATTGTTGTGACAGTTTTTTTATAAAAATAATTTATTCTTTCATAACGTTATTGCCTTTTCATTGAAAATTTTTTTTTGCAGATATTGTACTAATTTGTACAGTATATTCTAAAACAACATGCTTCCTTCGTGCGATTTTTTGCCGATTCCCAAGTGTTTTAGCCACCTAGTGGTAATCTCTGACGTAAATGAAAACGAACATCACAATCAAGGCATACGGTTGAAAATAAATCTAAATTTGGTTCCTGATTGCTCTTCTAGCGAGAGTGAGGAGGTTCACGGTCCTGCCACCATGAGTAACAATAGTCAAAGCATTATTTCCAGGTCAGCCATGGTCATGCCTGTGGATAAAAAACGACATAATAGCATATCACATATTGAGAGCGGCACTTCCCTAGCCGAAACCAGCAACGAATCTGATGATAAATTATCGTACTCAGTCAACGACAGCTTAAGTGATACTTTAAAAACCTTGGACCAAAATCCTCTTACAGTCAGGAAGGAGACTTGTGACCACAAGAATCCATATTTGAAATTAAATTCTTCATTGATGAAACTTCAAAAAGAAATGGTAAATTTGATTTAACATGATATCTGTGTTGAAAATACAAACACTAGTGTGGGAGGGGGGGAGGGATTAAAAAATATTACTTCTTTGCCTTTTTGCATTGAGCTTAAGCCATTATCAACATTCATCCAAGCTTTTCTGTTGTTTCAAATTTTTTTTCCATTAATATCCCTCTCTTTTTCGATTTCTCTTTACCAGATATTTTAGGGTCTTCCTCTTTTTGTTTAGATCCTTGGATTTAACATAAAATGCTTTTTACTTAAAAATAGATATAAGCTAAAGATACCTATTACTAAGAATACATTTTTAAAGTAATTTTTAAAACAACATTTACGTATGACATTTATATTAATTATATTATATTTAATTATTTTATTTTAATTGTTTTATATTTAATTATTCTATATTTTTAATTAATTATTTTATATTAATACAAACATTTGTATTGATCTTCAAAATATTTACAGATTAAAATGATCTTTAATTTCCACAGAAACAACTTCGGTCTCTCGATTTATCTTTATTCTGTCAACTGCTGTCACTGCATGAAGCCATTCAAGAGTACAAAATCACAGTGTCTGATCGCTTCTCTGAGACTGGATCAGAATATTCTTTAGGGAGTGCAAGCTACATGGGTTCAATGTCTAGCCTAAATGAGGAAAGTGATTGGGGCGATGAATCCCCACAGGGCTTTGACCAGCCTGATGGTTCGGACTTTGATCAAAACGAGAATCACCACAACGCATCCAATCTCTTAAAGCAGATCGCTGATTTAGCACAAAGAGCTGAAGAGGAGTTTTAAAGTATTGTTCATAGGAGGTAGAGGAATTGCCACAAACCGAAAACTATTGCTGTAAAAATGTTTACTGACAAATAATTTTAATAATCTCTAAGTATTACTTTTTAGATATGTTTCTTTTTATAGCTTTTATACAATGTTACATTAATATTGATGATAAGCAATTTAAAATATTAATTTTGAAACAAATTTCTACACCTGTGAGATTTAAAATCTTTATGGCTAAATGCCTAATGATCCAGTTTAACCAATGGTGTAACTTGTCAGGCTATCCAGTTGTCTTAAATTTTTTTTTCCCAGTTTCTCTTTGATGAAACCTTTTAAAACTCACCATAGCTTAAGAACCAAAAAGTTAATATCATTTTTTTAAATATAAGTTTACTTTTAGAAAAAAATAAAACTTACTAATGAATTATTTTATAAATAATAAATATATAGATGTTATGACTTTTATATAACTAATTCTATGCATCATTTCCTATTAAAAAGCAGTGAGCTTTATTTTTCAACATATTTTTTTTGAGACAACCTTTTTTGTTTTGTACATGCTTGTATATTTTGCTCTAGACTAGTTAGGTTTATTTTATTACATCTTTCACCATTTGATATTTTTGTTTAGTTAAGCAAACGTCAATACTTTTATTTTTATAATGTGTGGACACTTTTTTTAAAGTTGTCAATACTCAGTTTAATTACTTATCATAGTTATTGCTTTGATAATAACATGTTTTAATATATTATTTTTATATATTATTTTTAATGACTTTTAAGTTCCACTGCTTAAAATAATGAATATTTAAACTCCATTTTTAACTTATTCAGTGGTGTTGAAAATATGATGCAAAAAAAAATTCCTGTTAATTTGATTAGTAAATCACACTACACATAATTAAAGTTACCTGTGAGAACATTTTCTACACAGTATTTAACAAAAAATTGTTAATTTTTTTAAAAAGTTTTCCCATACAATTGATTTTGAGCTCGTATTTTGCTAAACGGTGCCATCACATTTCCAGCTGACTTATTTTTGGTAGATTTCCTAAGCTGTCCAGAAAAACAAACAAATAATTATGGCCAAATCAACCTTTTAAAAAATTGAAAGGCTTCACAAACACACTTTGTCATCTAAAATAGAGTATCATATTTATTACTGTTAAAAAAATGTTTTGTGTCTTTATATGGTGTCTTGTAAAACAAAACTGGAATTCACTAGGGTAACTATAATGTAGTAGAAGTTAGGAACTGCTGGTTTAAATTACCAATGGGCTCAGGATTTCATTGTCATGCAACAGAGCATGTTAATTAATCTACTTCCATGCAATAGATTTTCAATTTTGTCTTTTTTTTTTAAATGCGTACCAGATGGGTTTTGGAAATTATTATTTTGTCATTGTTCATAAAATTGTTTCAAATGAACTTAAGTCTTTCAAAGCACTATGAAGATATAAGCTTTAAATTTAATGCATTCAGAAAGTGCATTATTTTTTTAAGTTTTCTAATTTTTTCTCTAAATATTAAAAATGATTTGTTTTTACCTCTAAAATACTCATAAAATGAATATTGAACAATTTTTAGTGTTGTAGCTTAGAGTCATCAAATGTTTCATGATATTAAAAGCTCATATTCATTATTTGCTTTTTAGATGGCTATAATGTTACAAGGTGTATGAGAAATAATGTATGTTTATACTTCTTAAATCTCTCTGGATTTAGAAAGTATTTGTTTTGTTTTTGGTTTATAAACCAGCTATTAACCACAAATCCAAAAGATATTTCTGCACATTGTTTTTAATGTTTCCTCAGAGACCAGTTATGTTTTAGATAAATATTCCAACTGTTTATTAACTACCTATTATTAACGAGAAAAATGGCCCGTTGAGGAAGGGTACAACGGGCGCTAGGCTGATAGTGCTGTCTCTTTTCTCTAAACTAAAACCAACCCACCCCCCCACACACCACCCCCACCCCCCACCCCCACACACCACCCCCCACCACACACCGCCCCCCCCCACCCCCACCCCTCCACCCCCCCCCCCCTCCACCCCCCCCCCCCTCCACCCCCCCCCCCCCCCCCCCAAAAAAAAACATGTCTACCGTCCCATTCAACGAAATATAATTATATACTTTTTCCAGTGTCCGCCCCCTCCCAGAAAATTCTACCCCCGCCCCCGATAATTTCAAGTACCCCCACCCCTCTCCGGGGAGGAAAAAGTCTGAAAGAAACACTGAAACCAACCCACCCCCCCCCCCCCCCCACACCACCCCCCCACCCCTCCACCCCCCCCCCCCCCAAAAAAAAACATGTCTACCGTCCCATTCAACGAAATATAATTATATACTTTTTCCAGTGTCCGCCCCCTCCCAGAAAATTCTACCCCCGCCCCCGATAATTTCAAGTACCCCCACCCCTCTCCGGGGAGGAAAAAGTCTGAAAGAAACACTGGTGTCGCGCTTAGCCACTACGCGAAGAATTGCATTAAAGAAATTGCGAGAAAACCACTTTTTAGATTAGACACATTAATTAGGCGGTAATTTTATTATAGAGTATAGATGAGGAAACCACCCCACCCCCCCCCCCCCCACACACACACACACCATCCCCCCCCCCCCCCACTCCCAAAACAATCATGTCTACCGTCCCATTCAACGAAATATAATTATATACTTTTTCCAGTGTCCGCCCCCCTTCCCGAAAATTCTACCCCCGCCCCCGAAAATTTCAATTACCCCCACCCCTCTCCGGGGAGGAAAAAGTCTGAAAGAAACACTGGTGTCGCGCTTAGTCACTACCCGAAGAATTGCATTAAAGAAATTGCAAGAAAACCACTTTTTAGATTAGACACATTAATTAGGCGGTAATTTTATTATAGAGTATCGATGAAGAAATTTCTTTTGAGTTAGGGGGGGGGGGGGCTCAGACGTTCTTACGCGTGGGGTGGGGCTTCGCCCCTACCCGAAGAATTGTATGCAAGAAACTCTTCACGCAAACCATTAAGATTAGACAACATTTCCTTTTTATTCAATGTTAACGCGAAAATCAATGACGTCATATAACTGTGAGCACTCTCTGGGTTTGAGATTATTTTCTACTCTGTGCTAAATGTGTCGACGTCATATTTCGTTTTTCGAATTACTGTGCATGTTTTTATTTTGCTTGTGTTTTCTCTAGAGCGTTCTTGTCAGATAGAATTTTTTCTTATGTTTTCTCTAGAGCGTTCTTGTCAGACAGAGGGTTCTTGTCAGATAGATAGATACATACACAGACAGCGAAACTATTAATATAGATTACTATTTTTAATAGTGACACTGCATATAAGTTTTTTTTACCTTGTATCAGCCATTTTGTTTGGTACAACTGAATATTTATTAAATAAAGAAAGTCGAAGTTCCACTTTTAAGAACTGGATAACCATGTCTGTTTTACTTGAAAGATCTATGAATAAAATGTGACCAAGTGTCCTGCACAAGGAAAGATAGTAGTTGTTTTGAAATTACTATTTGGGTTTTTCAGTTAATATGTTTGCAAAATTGTCTTAAAATAGATATGTACAGATTTGGAAGTTATAGTTTAAACCCAGTTTTTAAAAAAAATATGATTCTGCATTATTAATATTTGTAAATAGATATACTGTTATTCCTTTATGGTTGTGCTGCACAGAGTATTTATCTATAACCAAATTACTTGTTGCATATCTTATTGTTTTAGAAAATAAATAAATATCTTATTATATTATATAAGATTATTTTAAAATTCCACTGTCTTTTTTACTGTACCTACAGTGTTAAACATTTGTGATCATGCTTCTGTGTGCCTTATAATCTCTGCTTCATCTCTTTTTGTTAAGTGATCGACATAATTACTATAACAATTTTAGTAAGCAATTGATAACTCTTTTCTTATACTAAATTCAATTTGGGCTCAAGTTTTAAAAGTGTACATCTTGTTTCTGATGTATTATCTAATACAATTCTTTAATAAAAGATATTTTAAATTTTAACACACTTACTGGATTTTAAAAATAGTACTTGTAATAAATTATTTTAAAAAGTTAAAAGCAACAACAACGTTTTAAAATTGGTTGTGTTCATTCATTTCCATGCTTACAGTAATGCTATAGTCAATCATATCAATGTTACAGTTGTATCTAATTACACATTTTTAAGGCTACTATTATTTTTTTAAATCCAACTGTCTTATTACTTATAGTGAGTATTCAGTGTGTTAATTTTTTTTTTTCAAAGAGCTGATCTAATAAGCTTTACATTTTAAGTTTCTTCACCAGGAACATTAATCTGGGTAGAATCTAACAACATGTTTCCTGTTAATAATATATTGAATTTTTTGGGAGTTTTACCTAATGATTTGTATTAAGTAGGATTAACAAATTTAGTCATAAAAGTGATGTTTAAAAACAACTATTTAATGCAAAATGCAAAAAAAAAAAGGTTTGTATCTGAAAACATTTAATGGGACAAAAAGAATGATGAATGTATTATGAAAAAAAAAAAAACACTCCAACATTAAAAGACCATAAATGATCAAAGTACTATAATAAAGAAACTGGAAAAGAATGTTACTGTGTTGTTTTATTTTTTTTTTGTTTATTGTCTGAACCTCAGTGTTGAATGTATTCTCTTATTTAAAAAAAAAAAAACAACAAACAGTTCTAAACATGAAAGTAACACAGCTTTTGATAGTGAAACATAACTTATTAACTCAAGTATGCAAATGTTGAGTTGTATAATAGTGATTGTTGGGTATATTCTAACAAATATGCCTATTTAGAGGAGAACATTACCCCTGTCAATTAACCCCTTCACTCTACCAAACAAACAAAAACTTGAATAGGGAATTACCTCCCCTGCCAATGATATCCTACTCCCAACTAAAACTGTAAGGAGTCGTGCATAAATGACGTCACACCTTTTGGATAATTTTTTTTTTACCTCTCATTCCCTTCGTCACAAAAGCCAGTCTACATCCTTAAAATGACGTCAATCTTTAATCTTCACCCCCCCCCCCTTGAAATTTTTTTTTTCGAAGTTCAGTCTACATCTACTAGGCTGTATTTTTCTATTTCAACATCCTTTTAAAATGCGAAATATCGACTAAAGTAGGTTTCTAACATGACTTTAATAAAGTACTAGTTATCTCCCTTAAACTTTCTCGTACATAGTTAAATAGACCGGGAGTGATCTCCCCTAAACTTTCTCGAATATTCTAATATAACACTACGGGGGATGGCAACTCGGGATATAGACTTCTAGACATGATTTTTAATCCATTTTAAATACTCAAATTTTTAAAAATCCTAATATATAAATCTCCACGTTCGCACATCTCTCTCTCTTTCTCTGTCCGCAAAAAATTTTCGCCGGACATCACGTCAGAATCGGCAGCGGTATATGGAGAACTTTTTACGGACTTTTATTGAAAATAATATGTTAGATGTTTTAAATGTATAACCACAATTTTACTTAAAGAAGAAAAATAAAAATTAAAGGCGTATTCGAATGTAGAGAAACAGTATTATTTATGCAACCGGAAAAGCATTAATACATGTGAAAAAGAACGCATAAAACTGTGACGTCGCTATTGCTTATACATTAACTTATGACGTCATCTGCTGTGTTTTGAATAAAAAGAAATGAACTATTTCATTCAAATTTGATTTAGATCTACGTACACTATGAAATGTATACAATACAATTTTTCCGGCCTAAACTCATAAAATTTATTTTATGTATTTGGATTCTAGATCTAGACTAGATTCTAAATCTAAATCTAAATCTACGCAATAACTAGACTAGATCTAGACGTAGACGCTAAGATCTAGATTTAGACTCTAACTTCTCTAAAATCAATTCCAAAAATAAATTTCTATATTAGGACTAAACTATTTCAAGACTTATTTATTTTATACAAAATCTTTGTTTGGAACTGGCTAATTTGAGATAAAAAAATTAATTTGAAAGAATAGGCATATTCGCGTAAGTTAAGATTTTAAAATACGTGTTTCATTCTCCGAATATTATAAGGTGCCTAAATAGCGGAGATGTTAGTGTACATTAAACCACGCAGGTGGTGCGGGTTCGAGACACACCAAGTCAACTTGGTTAATGTATTTTTTTTAATTATGCTCGGGCTAAACTTAAAAAAAAAATCTTTTAGGAATCTAGATCTAGATCTAGATTGTCGGGTGTCCGATAGGGCACTTCCCGGCGCCGCAGGCGCTTCAAATTTGGCAGGATCTTGCCTTGGGGCGACAGAACACGGGGGCCGGTTGGCCGAAAAGTCTACGATGAGGGGGTCAAAACTGACCTCGACTGACCGGTACCTTATATGAGCTATAAATTAAAAAAAAATGTCCACGGAGGAACCTCTTCATAACTTTTGAGGTCGTAGACCGACCCTCGGGCGAATTAATTAAGCATTCAAATTCTCAATGTTTTCGAAAGCCTAAGCGAAGCTGGGCAGCATGCCTAGTAGAATATAATCTCGTAGAAAAAAGAAATGCACACCAAGTGAACGCTAAATAAAGATGTGCATAATAGTGCGCAATATTATTAGTACTTTATAAATTTACATGCGTTTTTTGAGAAATCGGAAATAGCGTAAATAAGTACTTCCGGTCAACTCAAAATTTGACAGAAGGTAGAGAATTAGATCTTTTACTTATATATCAAATTTCATTTATCTATCTGAAATAGTACTCAAGTTATAGGCTTTTGAAAAATTCAAAGTAGAAAAAGTACCACTTCCGGTTATCGGAAATCGCTCAAAAGTTGATACGGATCTACGATTTTGATAAAATACTTATATATGAAATTTCATCAACCTAGCTGTAACGGTACTCAAGTTATCGTGTTTACACACGGACAC